CCCCCCCCCCCCCCCCATCACTGTCACTGTAGATTCCGGTGCTGACCATACGATGACGACAGCTGACGTTCGGATTCGGAAACGAACCGGAGAAGAACTGTACGGAACGAGATTGGGTATACGTACATAATACACATACGTATACCTAATCTTGTTCTATTATATATTATATACACACACACATATATATATATAAAAATGTATATAATCGGTTGGGTTTTACTTTTTCTCCGCGACACACGTACCTATTATTACTAGGTACAGCCGTACACATTACATAAGTGTAGAAACCCGTTCGCGCTGCTGCTGCTGCTGCTGCTGCTGCTGCGGCTGTCGGAGATCAAAACGATTTTCGTACTTATTATGAATATTATTTTTATTTTATTTTTTAATCTCCCACATGGATTTCGTTAACGTGATTTTCTCGATCTTATCCTTGACCTGTTATACGTTGTATTTTGTGCCATCGCGATCGTACACGTACATGCACACGAAAATACGAAAACAATTTTTTTTTCCTATGTACGCGCGCGCGTGTGTGTACACATAGTCAGTCGTGTGCGTACCGAGCGTTTAATTACAGTTACACAATATACATAAGATACGTCCAAAGTGATGATATATTTAACGATAATGTGAATACACGTAAGTACAGGTACCTCCGTATGTATTTGATTACAAAAAAAAAGGTTAAACTTTTACATTTTCGAAACGGTGAAACACAACACGTATCATTAAATAACGAATAACCGAATAGGCGCAAAACACTTGTACCGTTTTCGGCCGGATCGACTTCGTCCGTGCTTGTCTAATTCGTTTTGTATTCAAATTATTTCAACCGCGTACTTTTGATACATCAGAAAATAAAAAAATAAAAAAAATCAAATCGGAGTTTAGAAGTTGAAACAAGTAGTCGGTCTATTAGAAGACCTTCGCTTCTTTTTATAAATACACGGCTCGTACTTAAAAACAGTTTTCGCTGAATATGGGAAGGTGGGATGCGCAACGAATTTGTAATCGGCTTTGATCATCTCGGACTTGTTGCGTTTAACCGGTTTCGTCTTTCAACAACATGACGTTATAAACTCGTAATTTGCACGAACGTTGTTCATGGTGAGTGATAACAATAATAATGGCCGTTGGAATTTTTTCAAACGGCCAGTGCAAAAATCCAAATGCCGCGGAACATTACGGCAGAGACTTGTCTACGCGCGAATTCTAATGATACCAAACGTTTTAACTGAAGTCCTGTATTGTTATTGGCGTACGTAATATGCCCCGCGGTATTCTATACGCATAATCGTTGTAGTAATAGTATGCCCAGAACTCGAGAATCGACGAGTCAACTAATAGCCATTCGAGTCATTCGTCCGCGTCAACTGTTCGAAGCTCTCAAATATACGAAATATACTAGAAACTATACGAACGAAACACGAATCGAGTTCGTATTTCATTTGAACCGCCTCGTTTGGAATTAAGGTCAAAAACAAACCCGGCCCGCCTGAACTTTGTGCTCGTGAACGGTTCGAATACACCCTAACCGGGGTCCGAGATCTGATACGCCTGTATAACCAGCACTCGCAGTTACTCACCAGCAGGAGTTCAGTTTGCTTGTCGATAGCTACGACGACGAGACCCGAGTCCAACAGTCTCTTGGTGATGGCCATGCCTATGCCTCCGTTGGCGCCGGTCACGAACGCCACTTTTCCGGTCCACCGGTCCATGATGATGACGATGGCGGTGGTCGTTGTGATGACGGAAGTTGTCTATCAAAAAGTGTTTGTTCGAACGGCGACGGGAAAGGTGCCCGTACGAAATGACAGCGCGATTTGTGTGTGTGTGTATCGGACGGCGATACTCTATTTGTTATTGTACGCGACACGATTGGGCGGACCTGACGCGCGTGTATTATTATTTTATGTTGTTCGTCCGATTCGTACGGTCGGAAATAGTATACGGCAGAGTTAAACACGACGGCGGTGATGACGACGATGACGACGGTGGTTATTCGTCGGGCTGGTCGACGTGTGACGACGGTCCATATGGTCCGCGTGCGGCTGCCGGGTACCTACTGAGACGCACCGCGTTTGACTACCGACTCGCGTAGTCCGGGCGGTCCGGCGGTACCGTGCGCGGCGCCTCGCGGTTTCCGCGGCGAGCACCTGCAGAGGTACGTCATACACCCGTACGCGGTTTCGTGCGGCGGTGCCGTGTCGCCGCCGTTTCGCGGTCGGCGGAGTCGTTGTTACCCGTAATTGCGGCCGCCCGCCGGGGAATAAGGAAAATAGCGACCAGACACTGCAGCCGATGGGTGCTAGGGGCGGAGCGGGTCCTGAGTGCGGCCGCGGAAAACATATTTTGCCGGCCGGACAGCCGACAGTTTCCGGGGCCGACCCACAGACGCGAGCTTGAAAAAATTATTCTTCGATCCGTCGAATAACTTGAAAATTAACAAACGCGTTTTTCGTTTTAATATTTTCAACGTATATATACATGAAAACGGCATAAAGTGTATTCGACAACTCATAAGAGTAGTTTAGAAAACAATTTGGATTTGTCACACGCTTTATTAACAATCATATCGTTGTCTAAACTGCGGAGAATCTGTTTTGCAATCGCCGCCAACACGAATGACTCTAAGTGTTCGGTTGTCATTGAACTTCTCAAACGGTTGTTTACACGTTTCAAAGTAGAAAATGACCTTTCACAGGCCACTCGGGTTACCGGCAAAGTTTGTAAATACTGATGTGCAATGGCTAATGGAGGATAAGCATTAGAGTAAAGATTATACTTAATCAAAACATTATAACAACAAATGCTACAGTTTTTACATGTCTTACATAGTTTTGATATGTCTCTATCCTCATCTTCATTTTCTGTGTCACTATTTATGTACAGTTCTCCAATATATTCATCATCTACAGATTTCTTTAAATTTTTCCAAGATTTTGAAAAACTTAAAATTTCTTCACACAGTTTATATTTTATCTCATTTTTATTGTCTTCATCAAAATATGGTTTTAAGTTTACAGCTGATTTGGCAAAAGCATTTTTAGGTAGTCTGTTCACAAATGAATCAATATGAACAGGTGATAATAATGTTAAATCAAGAAGTATTTCTTTATCATTTGTAAATCGGTTTTCCATACTTTGTATAATTGTATCAAACACTCTGTTATATGCATCGACAGTAAACTTTTTTTCAACATTCATGATAGTATCACCAGTAGCTTCATAACTTGCCATTTTTTTCTTTCTAGAAATACGTTTAACTTCAAATTTACTTTGAACTTCTTCGATTTCCAAATCTTCATTAGATTCATTAATCCACGTTGAAATTGTATACTTCATTTTAGAAATAAATTCATTACACATACTCTTTATAAGTACCATAATCCTTTGACTTTTATAAGTTCAATTAAAGAAACTTCAACCATTTTAATGCATTTAAAAATGTCCGATCCACTAGTCTGTAAGTATCTCGTTAGTGGGCCAGCGATAAGAATTGTTTCATATTTTAACAACGCTTTCAATAGGTTAGATGCTTTTGCTTGAATGTCTGGTGTAAATAATTCGTTCGAACAGATTTTAATAAGTGCAATAATTAAATCAGGGTACATGGCTTCATCATACATTCCACACATGCCAAAAATCCTATTTACTGTAGTTTGTTTCGATGTCCACCTTGTATCTCCAATTAATCATAAACGCTTATGACAAATTTTCTCATAATTTTTTTCAATTATATTTCTCCGTACATTCATTCGTTTATATGACTCTTTGAAGAAAACTGCACATCCATCGATTAGAGAAAAAAATTTGACTACCATTAATGGATTCTTAGTAGCACCACAAATTACTAAGTTTAGTGTGCGACCGAAATACCAAACACGGATTTGTTCTGGAGCTACTCTGCTCAGCCATGAAGTGAAATCATTATAAATACCTTGCGCATTTGCTGCTCCGTCAGTTGCGTTACCAATGCATTTTGGTGTATCAATATTGGATCACTCGCTACGCACCGAATCTGAAACTTGCAAATTTCTATGAGTGGCTCAACAAACACTAGGATGTTTTGAAAATCTTATTGCGCGGTCCATAAAAGACAGTGACATAAGGTATTCTGCGAAAATTTCTTGTCTCTACAATTATTTTTACCTTAATTACAATAACAGCAAAATCGAAAGTAATAAAACCGCTATTGCCGTAAACGTTTCCGTTTTTTTTTTTATCGAGAGAACTGCAAATAAAATCGAAAATGTACCATCTCGACGGACCAACTAGATTCGTTCTTTGATCGGAGCAAGATTTCTGCCGGAAAAATCGTTTGTCGGCGCAACAAACGGAAAACGCATCGTTATATACGTACACACACACACACGCACACATATATTTCTCACTGCGTTCAGAAGTCGGAATTGTAAAAAACGATATTATCGTCACCGACCCGCGATTACTCAACTATCGCCTGCTTAGCTGAGGTAACCTATATATTATGTTATGTTATTATGTTGTTACCTATGCATTATGCCGAATACCAACGTGTGCGCACAGGCACTTGTACCCATTAAATACTTGCTCAACAGCCGGTGGCGCCGGCGACGGTGTGATTGGCGTGAAGGTGACGGGGACTGTCAATCCGTCCGGTGGCCGTGTATCAAGAACGTGTGGAAATCTGTGCAGATACCTGCGGGCCACTCGCCAGTGGGTCGCAAAAATAGGCGATATTTAACGCGAATAACATGCTGCGAGTATTCAACAACGATGCGCGCGAATCGAATGGTTTTTTTTTTATTTTTTTTTTTTTCAAGCTTTACTCGCACATTTTTTGATACCTATCAATTCCCCCCCCTCTCCTCCCACCAGTCTACAACTGGTCTGTCGTTTATATAATATAAATCGTTTTAAATACGTTGAGCACAACGGTTTTCGCGTTTTCTTTTGCCTCCAACACATACTATGTTTCCGCACTTAGATTATAAGTCAATTGTTTTTGAGTTATTGTTTCTCTTAAGAGGTGTTCGCGTCCACGCCTACTCACTCCCCCTCGGACCGACTAACGGACAACGTACGGCAAAATTACCGTGGGCAGGTACTTAAAAACGCGCTTGGAACGCACACGCTTCGTGATTGTGAAACTATTGTAGTTTGCGTACAAACAACAAAATTTAAAAAGGAACCTATTCCCGCGGACATTTTTTTCTAAGAAAAAAAAAAAACATCATGGCTATACGATTTTCGCGCGATAATTATTTCGGGAAAAAGCGCCGTCGATCATATTATTCTCGTCTTTACGTTTCGTGTTTGAGAAGTCCAATTTCAACACCACGACCGTGGCCCACGGTTCGTGCGCCGACGAGTGACGTTGGACCGAAACAGCGCACGCACGGTAAGCGGGTGGAGGTGCGGGAGCGGTGGCGTCCTCTTTACTACGTCTGGTGAATTCGTACAACAATAATTGTTGACCCGTTACCACGCGTTCGTACGGCGAATTTACGTTTTACGAACCAATGCAGGCACGGTAGTCCGCGGGTAATTTATAGCGCCGCGCAAACGTTACGCCGTCTCTGGTCGCGAGTCTGTGGGCCAAGGCGGTCCGGTGCCCGTACGCGACGGGCGTGTGTTTACAAACGACCAAACAGGAAAGCACCGCGTGTAATAACAGTCCGCGCGCGGATTGCGTTTCGCGCTATTGACCGTCGCGTTACGTTATTTATACGGTGAAAAGTACTGATGATAACGGCGACAGCAACAACAACAACAACAACAACAACAATAATTGTAACGACGATAATGATCGGGGGAGCCGGGATCGGTCGCGCCTCGGGAACCGGAATTCTGTTGGCCGCGTGTTTTGCACTCGCACGTCACCGATCGGTCGGAGTCGACCGCGAGACGCGCAATTGCGTTACGCGTGTCCAGTGCGTACCGCATAATACACGTAACGAAATAATTAGGAAAAAACGAAATTATTGAAATGGCCAACGCCCGTAGAATAAATGCAGAAATGAAAAACAAACAAATTAATGCGTCGCCTGCAGTATTGTGTCGGGTGTATCGCAGTCAAAATGTAAAACGCCACTGAACGCGTACAATTTAACGGAAGAATGCGTAGGAAAAAAAAATCGTGTTTCACATGGAAATAATTTGTTCTTATAGGAGAGATTATTTAAAATGAGTTATAATTAGACACAGATGTGTCGGGAAACATGTAAACTACTCGGGTATTATTTACCTTCTAAAACGTATTGATGTAAGATATTATTTTTAAAATCGGTTTGTACATTCAAAATATTATTAAAATTATTTTTCTTCATTTCATTGAACGCAATATGTAATTCTTCTAAAAACTGAATTGATGTAAACGTTATTTTCTAAAACACAATTGGCGAAATTCGAATTTGCGGCAGTCTTTTTTAAATTTTATTTCAAAAATGTGTTCTTTATATCTTATGTTGAAATTTCTATTTGTCTTACCTGCAGCAAATTACAGTTACAGTATTACAGTATTACAGTTACATTTGAGTTTATGTATACCAGCATTTTCAAAAGAAGGGGATTTTTTGCTAAGTTTTTAGCTCTAATGTTTTTGTATGTTTGATTGAATTATTATTGGTCTTAAAAACGATTTTTACATTATTTGCATTATTGTTCAGAATTTTATCGAATTCGTTCGACATATTATTTTGATGTTTCATATTACAATAGTTAACAACGTTATTTGGCGAATTGTATATTAATTTTTCTTTAATGCGTTTATTGAATTTAAAAATGATATTTTTTGAGAATAAGCAACGTATTCATTTTACACATTATAATAAAAAAAAAAAAGTAATATTATTGGTTAGTAGGTACTACGCCAGTACCATACGCCATCGATACGGTATCTACACAATATTTTAATACTTTTGGCTGTATTATCATAACATTGATAATATTTTAAACGTTTTCACGAAAATTATTATCGAAGCGAGTTATTATCGAAATCTGCAGTCCGCAATCGAAATTGAACGTAAATTTCTCAAACGCTGTCGTATACCGTATACGTTTTAAATAAATACATTTTTTCATAGGTACCTAGATATTTGTTTACACTCACTCCGTGTATAATATCCATGTGTATTATATCATTTATTTCCTTTTTATGTATAGTTCTTTTTTTTGAATTTATTACCGATCTGTTATTATTGTGTCTATGCACATTGCACAGTGTTAATGCCGCTATTATTTCGTACGTCTTGTTTTACAATATAACCAATAATTGGTAAACCATACTGGAATAGATGCGAATTTCTTTTCTCCGACCGTTCCCATCTATCGGGACGGAAATATTCGGACGGTTAGTTTTTTCCACTATACGTATTGTGCTTTGGAGCCATTTGTTTATTTCAAGTTGATTTTTCGTGTATTTCGCACTTGCGCTACGACAGCAGTCGTTTATGTTCCTTTCGATTGTGGGGCCAGCGGATTTCGAACCTATTCGCGCATTACGCAATTACCGAATGGAACTTGAACATTTATTTCGTCGACTTTTTATTCGATTGCGATTCTCGAACAATATGCGTACCATACATATCGTATACTCTCGTATTGATGTAACGGACTCGGAACACGACAATTATCGCGCCGTTACGTAATTGACAAAAAAAAAGAAAAGATATTTCGACGGGCGGCGAGTGCGAATCCATCACGCAGCACTCGCGCATTGTCGCGCACACAATGTGCGATTACGGTACGGAGTCGATTGCAATAACCGTACGAACAGTATAGACGCGCGTTGTCGCGGCGACGTTCTTCGCGGCCGGCGAGAAATCCGGGGGAACGCCGCGGCGCCGTCGTACGCGTGACGGGCGCCTACGCGCCGGCGAGCGCGTCGCACCCGTAACGCAATTCGTCCGGCGCGCGCGCGGTCACCCGGGTGACGGACAGAATGCGACGCCGACCGTCGGACGTATTCGCCGTAACACGCGTTCGCGACGGTATTGCCGGCGTCGCTGCCGCGGCGTTGGCCGTTACGCCGGAGCGGCGTAATTCGAGACTTGCGACATCTGCCGGGAAGCTCGCGTCGGTGACGAACGGACAATGTAAACATTGGTCCCTCGGACGTTTAGCGTGTCGCAAATTATAACCACCGGACCGCAATGATCGATTGAGCAAAACGGGGACCACGCGTGCGAGCTGGCGCGCGACGAAACTACCAGACTGATTATGACGGGATAACGCTCAATAATACGTGCGCGATACGGCCCGACACGGGCTATAGTCTTCGCTCTCGATTAACGACCGGAAAAAGGGAACAGGAGATGAAATGCGGAATGAAACGTCCTTAGGTATTTTCAGTATGGAAACTGAATCATTTTTGTTGAATTATGGGTTACTTTTGTTGCACGGATGAAACGAAAAACAATTTAAAACGAAAAATAAATAGCAAACAGAAATAAAAAGCCGTAAAAACTATAACAACTTAAAATATGGTGTCTATTTGACTGTCTACTATTGCTATTTGCTGGTGTCTACTATTGGACTTTATACACTGAACATTTTTATTTTTTTTCTTGGTACCAGTAACAACACCACACTATTACAGTACTAATCATGGCCTCGATATGTGGACATACAGTTTAATCCCTGTATTATTTGGTTATCTATGGTGACACGGATGAAAAACATTAGCCCGCCACTAACCCGCATTCCATTTATTTTTCTCGTTCAACATATTCTGATACGGGCAAAGTAAAACGGGAGTAAAGGTAAAAAAGAATGGAGAATTGACACGGGGCAATGCCGAGAGCGGGACAGATAGCTAAATAATATACATATTTTGATGAATTTAAAATTTAAAATTACAGTATCATTTATAATTATACAAAATAATTAAAGTTAATAAAATAAATAAAGCTGTTGAAGCCTTAAAGAAAAAAAAAATAAACAAAAATTTCTGTTAAATTTGTCTTGAAATGCCATAATTTGTACGGATTTCGTCAAAATTAGAATTTAAAATGTTTAAAAAAAGATTGAATTAAATCTATAATAAATCTTGTATTAAATTTTCAAACATTTCTGTTAGGTAAAACAATTTTATCTATATAATCCCTACCAAATGAAAAATAAAACTTGTCGAATGCGTACTAATAGGCTCAAAAATCGCCAGAATGTGTTGCTAGAAAAGTTGTTTAAAATTATTTTATACAAGTTTCATGTCTCAACGAATATTATTAACAAAATTAAAAAAAAAAAAGATCAGACATACTTTGCACGTGATGTGGGTGTAGCCACGACTGTTGTGGGTGGGAAGTTGGGAAAGTAGGATACAGACGGGAATTTAATGTGTATCTGTAAGCAATGATAAACCATTGCTAACGAAAAAACGATTCTGAGCAGAGCTCAGTTGCTTTATCGACAATATAATATAAGTTATATTATCATTCTTATTATTAGTTAAGTATCATTCTTATAATTGTACTATTGTACTCATAATTAAATCAGAGCTTGAAATCGAAACAAAATGTTCAATGGAGCTTTCGGATTATGAAACTATATGGTGTATCATGGCAAAACAAGGGATAATTTCATTTTAAGCTTTCCAGGTAAGTTAACCCGTAAGTCTCTAAGCACACCAAAAATGCATTTTTTTTTTTCCCATAGTGGAATATGGGGCGTTTTTTTAAGTTTTATGTAATCTGCATATTTCACATGAAATTTTATATTTAAATTGGTACCAAAGGTTTCCTGAGAAAAGTTGAAATAATTTTCAATAATGAGAGGCAGATGGGCGGTAAATGGTTAATGATTAATGTTCCCAATGATGAGGAGGTTAAAGGTTAGTGATTTATGGATCAAAATGGGATGTTCTGAGGTCAAGATTAGTTTGTGACCGGAAGCTCCCAATAGACACTAATTTGAACTAAAATGTATGGTGTATACACTATCACTAGACTGTACAGGCATGCAAATTGCACACGAGTAAAGTAGCAGATAATACAGCTAGGTTAGTAGTTTAAAGTCATTCAACACAGTATTATACGGTTTACTCTTCAAGCGGTATTTGAGTTATATATTCCACTAACCGGTAGATGGTGGTATTTCAGTATTAGTTATCTAGTTATGGTATAACATTTAAGCATTATTTAAGCAATAACTGGTATAATAATTAACTGGTAAACGTACACGAAAAAAAAACTATCAACTCTAATATGATATTATTATAAAGCTATTTTTATTAGTCTCTTAAACATAATTTTAAACAATTTTGTTTACTTACTATTTATTTAAAATAAAATAATACTGATAAAAATCATGTTTTTTTAACAATCTAAGTAAATTTAAGTATTTTTTATTTATGAAAAAAAATGTATACATTATTTAAAGAAAAAATAGTTTTAAAATGCAAGAAAAATCTTATACAAAAATACTAAGCACTAACACTAAGACATTTCATACAATACAACTTACAATTTTAGATTTATAGTAGGTATAAATTAGTTTGAATTAATTATTCAATTAATTCAAACCATGTTTTCTTACAATCTAAGTAAATTTAAGTATTTTTTATTTAGGAAAAAAAAAAATTATACATTATTTAAAGAAAAAATAGTTTTAAAATGCAAGAAAAATCTTATACAAAAATACTAAGCACTAACACTAAGACNCATACAATACAACTTACAATTTTAGATTTATAGTAGGTATAAATTAGTTTGAATTAATTATTCAATTAATTCAAACCATGTTTTCTTACAATCTAAGTAAATTTAAGTATTTTTTATTTAGGAAAAAAAAAAATTATACATTATTTAAAGAAAAAATAGTTTTAAAATGCAAGAAAAATCTTATACAAAAATACTAAGCACTAACACTAAGACATTTCATACAATACAACTTACAATTTTAGATTTATAGTAGGTATAAATTAGTTTGAATTAATTATTTAATTAATTGAAATCAATGGAATAACTTAATCTAATTAAATGAACTTAAGAATAATAAATAATAATTAAGAAAGAATTTACTTAAATAATTGTTCATAAACAGTCTTTTACAATCCTGGCATAATGTAAGCAATGTCGTCCATAATCTTTGATAATGTTTCTTGAGAGTTTACATTTAATTCTGGAACCTGTTGAGTGAGACACATTAAGGGTCCCAAGGTACATAAAAGAGAATCGAGAAGTACTGATACACTGCCGTTTACAGCTATTTGGCCCTAAACACATAAAATAAACATTTAAAATTTAAATAGGTATTCAAAAATAAACATACATATATAAATATAATATCTCACTTGATGTTCTTTTAATCTTTGTCCAATTTTTGTTAATGATTCGCCAAGTAAAGCCAAATGAGCTGCTACATGAATAGGTTGGGTTGGATTTAATATTTTCGATTTCGTTTGACACCTAAAATACCAAAACAATACAGTAGAATATTATGTCAATAGTTACATAAAACTTTAGTATGATAAATGGTAAATTATAGAAATTCACTTCATGATATCATTAGTGTCTGTCAAATTATTAATAATTTTTGTACTCGATTTTTCAGCTGTGTCTTTGATGCCATTTGATGTACTCTCGTCTAATTCATCATCTAATAATCTTTTGGCTTTCTGCACCCATCGCTATAATAATAAAAATAGGTTATTTGAAATTGTAATACATTTTTATCAAATAAACGTACAATCTTGTCTTCATTAGGTACAGATTTCCACATTTCATTAAGTTGTTGTTTAATTTGTGATGAACCTTAAACAATTATTTCAAGAACATAAAATCAACATAATCATCATTATGTATTAGAAATTGATGTATGAAAAATTACTATAATTGGGATAAGCATTCATTAATGTCTTTTTTACTTCTGTAGCCCACAATGAAAATGAAACAAATTCCGATTTGTCCATGTTTAAATTTTCGACTGCATACATAAACTGTTCATTCATAAAAGAAACATAATATACAAATAAGATGAAATAACTCTGATAATAATACTAATTAGAATTTCAGATCATTTACTTGATTGTGTTCCTTAACTGAAACAGATGAACCACTGGACTCAGTATATTCATCTATAACTAATAAATTCAACATAATAGATACTTTCTTGTCAAAATTATCTATTTGAATATTAAATATCAAAAGACAATTTATAATGATGTATTAAGAAAATTAAATTTAAATTAATGCCCAAACAAAAAACAAGCTAAGATTATAAGAACTGATACAATGGAGAGAATAATTGTGGCTATACCATATGCAATGGGAGTTCTCAAGGGGGAAGAGGGGTTAAAGGTTTCAATTTACTGTTATAAATGTTTATTGATTTTACATAACTGTATATCTACTTTCTTCACTCTTATTTCTTGATTTCATATCAAATGACACTATGACAGATACCAAGACATTTTCTAAATACAATTTTTTTTTCTTATTAGTTGTGTAAAATGGTATTATTTGATTTTAATTGTAACCTCGAATGATCTTTTGATACTGATAAACAAACTGTTATAGCAGAGTTCAATTTATGGTATATTATACTAAAAATGATGGATAACACCCTAAAAATGGATTGGAGGCATTGGAATTGTTTCCAAATATTAATTTTTTAATTCAAGTATTATGTACTCTATTAGTGCCTACAGCTTAGAGTGAACATTTTTAAGTTTAAAAAGGCTGAAAACTTACTTAAAAAGCACAATGACTAAGGTATTTCTTTAAACTTATAATTTGATATTTAAAATGATAGTTATTAGTATTTATGTTTTTAAACTTGAATTAACGAAAACAAATTTAAACTGTTCGCTATTCACAAAGATTTATTATTAACAGCTGAAAAAGTACTCAATTAACTGGCTAAAAAGCTCTGTAAACTTGATTTTGTTCTTTGATTTAGTATTATAATGTATAAGCTAAATTTAACAAATATTTTGCCCTACAAAAATTGTACATTATTTATTTATAATTTGTAATAGATATCTCATATTTATATTCAGTGCTCGAATTGAGGGAGAACGCAGGGAGATGGAGTACCTAAACTAATTTGTTAGAAATATAAGCGTACCTTTACTATTTGTTTGAAATGGAACTCATGGGACACAGTGGAGGATACAAGGTACCAGGTCTAGAAAGAACTGTATATAAGAGACTATACCTATAGAAGTATTCTGTGGAATTTTTAACCTCTATGATTATTTTTCATTGAATAAACAAAATAGAATAAAACAGAAGCAGTAAATGTAACAGTTACAAGTTTTCCTATTGTTTTTTCTAAAGGTTTTCTCATAAATAAGATTACTATAAAAAAATTACCTCCTTACTACACCAATGAGACAATAATTTTTACTAAAAGTTGAAAAGTAGAAAAGTTGTTCACATACAGAAAAAGAACAAACACATCATCATAATAGAATCATAGTATTAACCATCATATTAGAATATAAAATAAATAATATCTACTATAGAAGGTACTATCCTACTATGTAAGCAAAAGTTAGCCTGCACTAGGTAGTGTTTGTTTTCGGAAATTATGAATTACTGAATTATGTTTGAAAATTAGTATGGGAGGTGTGGAGGACTAAACCCCCCACAGGTTGGGTTGAGTTCAATAATTACAAGGACACACATTTTTTTTTTATGTCCTTTAGTCCCCTTCTTATATTTTATCAATTCGAGCACTGTTCATATTGATTCCTATATAAATAATAAAAAAATACATTTCAAACCCCTCCATCCAAAATTCCAGAGCACATCTCTGCAATATGGTATGACTGGAAATAAAGAAGGAAAGTTTTGATTTATTGTAACTTATAACTTTTATTGTACCTAAAGTATAGTCAATTTGGTGTTAAAATTAAACAGACATTGTATTTGATTTCGTTCATTTCTCTTCAAATATTAATATTCAACAAATTATTTTTATTTACTATGTACTATTTATGACAGGTTTGCATTTAAAGTTCAATAAAATTGGGCTGAACTCTGGTTTTTGAGTAATGAGAATAAAAACAAAAATTTAAAAAAATGTCTTATATAATATTAATTTGTGTTGATGTAAAATTGCATTATGTATTAATTACCTGTCTAAATGCCCAAATAAATATTGTATAAAACACTTATTATTTTGAAATTTGTTCTAATATCCAAGAGCTATATTACCAAAAAGTGCACTTAAAATCAATATAGGCGCTAGCATCCATTTCAGGATAGACTTAGATACTAAAAATACCTATTATATTATAAAATCAATGGTACTAGATATCTATATTAGTTCCAACTCACAAGGATTAGTGTCTACAGACCATTTATTGCCTTCAGTGTTTTGTTGATCTTTTAAAAATTCCATGTTGCTATTATCGTTAAACTAAACAAAAAAAAATATGTATTATAAATTTAATTAATCATTAAATAAATGTAATCAATTCAAATATAAAACTTACTTGAGCGAGTGGTTCTTGACTAAATGATTGTCTTTTTGTTACTTGTTTTGATTGCTTCGTTGGTGTCTTATCTTTTTCTTCTGTTGGGAAAAAGATTTTTTAAATCAAACAAACAAAATAAATATTATTTAGATAATTAGCTACTTATATATTACATTAAATACGTACGTAAATCTGGAGATTCAAATCCAAGTAATTTCGACGATCTCTTAATAACTCGCCCAGACCTCGAAACTACGGTTGTTATGTCTGGTTCGCCTATAACGTTCAACACGTCAGGTCTAATTAAATTTATGATTAAATTAAGTATTAAAGATAAACTAAACTGCATACATGCAATTTAGCTCTAAAGCAATTTTTTAGAATTTTTTTTTTTAAATGTGTATTTTTGCATGTTTAATTTCATGGTACTTTATAAAAAAACAGTCATTCAAACTTCCTGTAGTAGTTATGGTCAAAAAACTTCAGAATCCTTGATTTTCAAAAATCGTGTTTTTAAGTTTTTCTTGAAAAAAACATTTCTTGAAATAGAGCAAGTTTGAACGACTTGTTTTTAAAATACCATCTAATTAAACATGCAAAAATACATTTTGAAAAAAAAATTCTAAACATTTTTTGGGAGCTAAAATTAATTGCATTTGTTCTAGTTTATCAGTGATAGATCCAGGGAATTGATATCTGAAAAATCTTGAGTTGATTTTCATCATAAATATGTAACATGTATTTTCAAAATGCCCCTCTTCTGGACCCTAGGGAAGGTTTACAGATAATTCTATAAAATTATTATATTAACCTTAGAACTAAGCTACTTAAAACGATTTAATTTTTATGTAATATTTAGAAAAAATTTAATTTAACGTTTGATTACTAGTACAGTCTAGTGTCTATGAAATATTACTTTATGTATTGTGGAAAAGTTTAATCAATAATCTAAATACCTTACGTAAGTACCCAGCAATGTATAAATAGGTAGTTAAGATATTAAGTTAGATAGATGTAAGATAGTATATTTTTAAAAATGTTTGCATATTTATTATTAATTTGATAATTGTAATTGTATTGAAAAACAATTCCAAATAAACAGGAACACGTTATCATATTCCATAATGAAATGTATTACAAAATTATTTTGTTGTTTTAAATGTTTTTGACTACATTATCCCCTGTTAAAAATTTAACTGTCTTAACAAATATTGTCTACCTAAACTAACTAAACCAACTAATTTAATAACGACTTGGTAGATTTGTAGCACTTGAATACATACAGAATAAAAAAAAAAAATATTTTATAGGTACTCTATAGGAATTATCTTCTTATGACTTCACTAAGATTGGGAAATTTTTTATCAAAATAAGTTTATTATATATTTGAGATTTTTTGACACTTTTATTTAATTATATGTAAACATTTTTTTACATACAATAAAGTTTATAGGTGAAGATACTTAAATAAAATGAGAGCCACTGAATTTAACACTTATATTATTAAAAGAATAAGGTAGTGTATTTGTATAGGTTCAGAGCAAAATTCAATGGCTATTTTTTTTAGACTTTTTATAGTGCACATACATGTATTTGAGTTTGATATATACATAACATAGATAGAAATTAAAAATGCCAATACCTATCTAAGTATATTTTAACCAAACCATAATCAATTTTTGGAATTTTTAATGTAGTACTGCTCAAAAATCAAATAATTGTTTTATCCACGAAAATAAGAATAACCCAAAATAATGAAATTTAACATTTTAGAACTATTTGTTTGATAAGTCGTTTAAAAAAAAAAAAATACTTTTCTTACATCCACAGAACCTTGTCAATCATCTATAATAAATGAGGAGATGGCAGGTACACATTTTAATTTTTTGTAGTGCACAAAGTGTCACACAAAAACAGTCACTGGAGCAAATTGGAATTTAGAATTCTTCTCGCCAATTTTATTTTTTTCGTGTTCTTTTCATTACCACGAGGAATACAAAAAATGCATATATCAACAGACTTAAGTCTACAGTACTAAAATCAAGTTACTATATACAATTTATTTAGTCTCTTATAATTAAACCTTAAAGGCCATCAATGTATCAATATTATTACTTTAATAACATTAAAGTATTAAGATAATGTAGTAGGTACATAACTTGTTTAATAATATTTTTACTTTAAAAGACATAATCTCAAGTTTCATAAGTATAAAAAATTATTTAATGATAAGTTTTAAATATAATAACTAGTTCATATTACAAAAATGTTTGTTTTAACTTTTATTTTGTACCTAAATACAAATCAAACAAAAATAATTTATGAAAATATCGTATCATCTTGTACCCATCCATCTTTCAATGATAAATATCGTCTTTTAGATGCTGTGTTCATATAAGGTCGAAGCATCCATTCAGTTTCTGCGGTTTCTGCAGATTCTAATGTGCCTAACTTAATTTGGTAGAGTTTCAATTGAAAACGAGGGCCTACTTCATTCATTTCAATTTTGTTACCATCCACCTAAAATTAGCAAACATTTATAATTAATATAGAAAATGAAATTATAATACATTAATTTTAAACATTACCATTTTGTAAGTGTGATGTCTAAATGATATAAAATCATCATGATTCGCAAATGAAATAACTCTCTTGCTGTCTTCTTTAGGAACCGGATATAAATACTTTAAAATGTTCATTGTTCTCTTGCCAAGTTGCGTTTCAAAATTATGGAAAATCAAATGTGGAAACTGTTCCGACATAGTACCAATATTAGGTACATCGTGTCTCATAACTACATCTGTTAAATTAAAGTAGGCAGTCGGGCCGTATGGCATGTGACAAATAATTAACGTATCTGGAACACCTCTATGTTCATGAACGACAATAAAATCCGTTACTTCATTAGCTCTACAAGCCTGTACCAATTGTTTCATCTCGTAATTACCGCGGTTCATGCGTTGGGAATTCGGAAATATCAATCTGAGTTCTTTGACGAATTTCTTAAGACTTGATGACGGATCGTGTGACGTAGTGATCATTATTTTTGGATCTTCGACGCCAGCCCAACGATATTCGTCATCTTCGTGCAAAGTGCCGGCTCCCCCTTCTTCACCACCGGCTGCTTCTGCCAGCGCGGGCGCCCCATCATCCCATTCGAGTTTTTCTTGTAAATTCAAAGCCTCCGGCCGTAAATCATAATGAATAGGTACATTTTCGTCCAGGCAATGCTTCAGTCTATCTTTTTTGTCTTGGATAACTTTTTGGCGGGATTCCAAACTCTTTCTGTAGAGGTACTCTCGTCTAAGTCGAGCCTGTCTGCGCAACATGACGGAAATGGTAATTTTAATATTTGGTTCTTCAGTTTACTAGACTTAACTAAAAATAAAATTCCACATGGTTTTGTTTAATACTCTGATAATTTGTTATCACCAATAAACTGTTATCACATGCTGCATCTCATGTTAATATATAATAGTGTGCTGATTTCGTTTACAGGTTGACCACGTCAGTCGTGTCTGTGGCCATTACTGTACAAACTGTTTGTTTTGTATACATTTTTAATATTATTTACAATTTGTCTATAAAGATACATACCTATATTCTAAATTTTATTTATTAAATGCTAGAATGGCAAAATGGCATTGTCTCATTGTCTATGTTATATTATATTTAGTTTTTCAAGCATTCGTAGACCAAAACAATATAATTTAATGTAAATCGTAAGTACTTATAAAATAATTTGTGAAAACATATCGGCATTGGAAACAATAAGGTTTTCCAACAACCGAAACTAATAAAAACTTTAAATTCTAAATTAGCATAACTAACTACAACTTACTTTTATCGGATTTTCGACCCTTGCCCTTGTTCATTTTGTTTTTCGCCACTGTGCACTGGTTTTTAATATTATATGTTAGCTTTGTATGTTTTACTTCGGAGCTCCTAACACAGAATGACAAAAATGCCCAATCTTGTTCTTTATCAGTGTCTGCTACATGTAATGATAACAGTTTTGAAAGTGATTGGTTGAAACAACAATTAATAGCGGGAACTCAAAAATGTAGAAATTTACAAAATATATTGTTCATTATCATTTTTTTTTAATATTATAAAGTTTATGATCTTGTATTATGATATTATACATTGTTATTCATTTTGATAACCGATAGTCAATCACGATTTAGGATGTGGTTACGCAATTCACTATAATTGTACTAAGTGCCGTTTAAATCGTTTAATATATTCTATCTTGAAAAACTATTTGTGTTCAGCACTCTATACGAAACTGGCGCCCTAGTTTTTTTGGACGGTTTTAAATGTTTTGCATAAAATAAAAATATCGTTGTCTTTAATTTAGTGTTGCAAGACAACGATTTTTCGGGTTCCATCTGTACCTAGTAGTGAATTATCCGTACTGGTGAGAAACTTGCACAGTGAATACTTAGAAAACAGATTTCGGGAAGGTGAAAAATGCTATAAATTACCTAGGTATTATCGGAACATATTAAACTCGTCGAATTTTTTTTTGAAATCGTATAAGTTATCAGATGTTCGTAAAGTTAGTCACATTTTTGTTGAATTTTTTCCACCAATAAAAACTTATATTGTGTCTATTATATTATGGCTAATGTTAAAAATTAGATTATGTCAAACACTTTATAAGCTCGTGTTCCTTTTAAAAATTAAAATATTGATAAAATCCATTGAATAAAAATGTGATATTATTTAATTTTCAATATTAACTTAACATATATATATATATATTATTTACCTATTACTTTTGGACATTTTTATGGACTCTTTGAACCAAATGAGCCTAAACTCTAGAATTAGAATTGTTTTATTGGTCGGTCAAAGTGATATAAGTTTAGTTAAATTTCAATATGTTATTATGGGGTTGGGTGTTTATTTAGATACGTACACCGCTACAAAACTCCCAAATGAAAATGGTATGTATGGAATTATGGTTATGGTATGGTAAATGATCTACTGATAGATCAGTGAAGTTATAAACCAAATAATATGTACAAATAGTCAATAAAATTATTAGGTACTTACAAATTTACCATATCGAAATCAAACAAATAATTTATACAAAATAATAAACTATTATTTTCAACTTCCAATTACTTATCTAATTTCACAAGTGTTTTGGGTTAAAATATGGTAGATTCAAAAGCCATACTTCAACCAAACTTGAACACCTATCTATTTATATATTCAAGTTCATATGATTATAGATTATCTACGAAAAATTTACAATATGGAGATGCATAACCGTGTAGCCCGTCATTTGGAAAATTTGCATATTAGTATATCATCTGAAAACGAGTGGTTCAAACAGTGTGTAAATTTCTTCATATCAAATAACCCAAATGTAATTAATTTGAAAACATTTAAATTAGAAAGCTGAGTAAAATTAATCATTTGTTTGTTGTTAGTGTAATGTAAATGATTTATCTTCTATGGTGGCAGAACAATTGAGTTTATCCGATTTTCAAGAAATAGCATTATCTAGTTTGCCAGTCAATTTAAAAGACAATGAAAAAAAAATTTTGAATGGAAAATATTGTCTGCAGGTATCTTATTTTAAATTTAAAATATTACTATAATAATTACTAATTTAAAAGCATTATGATATTACACAATTTACTTAAATTTTTTCAACAGGTGAATACAATTCTTGATGTCGGCCAATCATGTTATTCACAATACAATGTGTTAGTAAAAAGAGACACTACTAACACTGAAATAAGTGACACCAAACCAGCTCCATGGGAACCTAAACCAAATAGAATGTTAAAAATGATGTGCACTGACGGCCAACAAGATGTAATGGCTATGGAATATGAGCCATTACCTAATCTCAAAGAACCATTTATACCTGGCTTCAAAGTATGTATTAATATTATTCTTTTTTGTAAAATTCTATTTTGGTAATAAAGAATATATTTTATTTAAATGCACATTTAGATTGCTGTTGTTGGACCAATTGAATACAGAAAAGGAGTATTATTATTAAAATCAAATAGTGTACATTTTATAGGTGGTGAAGTAGAACATTTGTTAATAAAAAATGCACCATTAAATGTATTGTGTAGAGCACTGTGAGCATTTATCTAAAACTATTGTAGTTATTGATTTATTATTATCTAAATTATAATTTACAGAAACAAACCGGAATTAGAAAATCCATATATTTTTTCAAATTTAGAAGTTGAAAGTAATAATACAGAAGAACAGTTATTTCAAAATATCAATTCACCAAGAGAAATATCAAATGATAATAATAGGGATGACACCACAAGACTTCAAAATACAAGAATAACTCATAATAGTAATCCTCAAAGTAACAATAGTGGTTTTGTTGGAAATGGAGTTATTACAGTAATTTTTAATTATTACATTGCATTTATTTTCTTCTTTTAGCTTAATATGTATAATTATTAATGTTTTGTTTTTCAATATTTATTGAAGTATGATGATTTTTTTGATGGTGATGATGACGAACTGTTGTATTTGACTCAAGTTGCTGAAATTGAAACTAAATTTGCTCAATCTAATAATACAGTAGAATCAACACCATTACAAACTTTTAATGCACATCAAAATATTATCAAAAAAGAACAAAAACCAACAAAATCAGTTTCTAAAAATAATAAGGTAGAAACTATTAAAAAGACAGCAACTACTACTAGACAGACTAAAATATCTGATATTTTAGGTCCAAGTACTTCTACATCATCTAGTAGTTCATTATTAAGTACAGTTAGACAACAAAATGATAATCATGTTAAAGTCGGTAACACGGCTGATATACAAACATTAGGAAAAAGAGTAGCAAGTTCACCATTGCACACAGACACTAAACGGCCTTCAGTTGAACAATATAGGCCTGAAGAAATTTGGGACGATATCAATATGGATATTGATGTTTCAAATCCTTTAATTAAAATCTTGAAGTGTACCTCAGTTTACAAAAACTCTAAAATACAAGTAAAACAAAATGAATGGGTTTGCGCAGGCATTTTGCTAGATGCAAACAAACATTTAGAAGTCGAATTCTCGTCTAAAGTAAGTCTTATAAATTAGATATAACTTATATAAGTATCTAATATTATTAATTTATGTATGTTTATTTATATTATTATATTATAGGTACTGGAACGTTTAATTGGAATTTCTTCTACAGAAGTGCTTCAAATTAAAGATAATCCTCTTAATTGTGCTCCGTTAAAAGAAAAAATTGAAAAAGTATGTTTAACTATGGTATTTGGTTCATTAATAATAATGATAGGTTAAATAAAAGGACATTTTGTTTTTAGGGAATTAAAGGAGCACTCAGAAAATTACACTTGTTCAAAGGTGAGATAACTTTGACATATTCATCAGATAAGAATAAGAAACCAATTGTTACAGATATGAAAATATAATAGTATAATATTTTAATACGGGATTGAACATATTTATTAGATATTGTTATATTCAAGCCAATTAAAGACTTATTAGTTATTGCTAACTTATATTACATATAATATAAATTATAATAATTTTAAATGTTAATAAAGTATTAATTTAAGTACCAAACACAAAGTAAATACTATATTTTTATATAAGCTTCTTAAGTATTTTATTAATTGAAAAGAGATATTAATTTTTTAGTGATATAATATGCAATTTTACAATATATTTAACATGTTGTAGCCACTGTTGTAGCTCACCTACAACTGGCCTCACATACCTAATGGAGAGAAGTCAGGAAAATTTAAGGGAAATTTAATGCATATCTGTACATAAAGATTAATCATTGCTAACAGAGTTAGATTCTGAGTTAAATTGTATGTGTTTTGAAAGGTCATAATATTAACAATTTGAAAATAATACATTACGTAAATTTTACCTATTTTTACCAATCATAAAACACCACATCAAAAAATTACTTTCCCACCCCAGTTAAATTCCTTTCAGAATAGAGCAATTTTTGAAATTTTTAAAGCAAAATTTCTGGTAATTCATAGAAAAATTATAAATGAACAACATTGTATTGTAAATCAGTAAAATGTATTATTAACTTGAATTATAATGATTCAATAAACATACTTAATACACATTCTTGTTTTTAGTTTAAATTTTTGAATATCATATTTTATTTTACAACAGTTAAATTATTTTGATATGACAATTTTTTTTTTTTTTGAAGTGTTTTAATATATTCTTTATAAAATATTACATAAATAAAATAATTATAGTTATTTACTTTACAATTTCAATGGTTCAAAAAATAAATTAATAGCACAATATAATTATTTTCAATAGATTATTTTTGAAGTGTATAATTGTAATCCATTGAAAAGTAAATATTCAATAATATAGTTATGTATAGTCCTTGCCTTTTTTTTATACATTATTATTAACAATTTGATAAATAAAAAAGAATATAAGAAAGTTAACATTATAAATAAATTAATATAGCAAAAGTATTGATAAAAAAGTTAAAATTTAAACAAAAAAAAAAATTGTAATAGAAAGAGTACACTATAAAACTAAAGCACATACATAATATTCTTAAAACTATAAATAATTATATTTTATTGAATGCTTAACATAAAAAAAAAATTACTACAAATTTATTTGTGATATTTAAATGTTTAATAGTGTACGATTGATTAATCTAAAATCCTAAATGCACTTTAATCATCGTGTGCATCAACACCACCACCCAAAAAATCTTTGAAATCCATTGCAACTTTATGTGGAAAACACCTAAGAACAATATTATAACAATGTGAATTCCATTAGTAGTGTAAGATAAATAAATATTTACCTAAAAATATGATTGATCAAAAGCAGTGGACCTGGAATGGATAGCTCCAACAAGTTTTTTCTAACAGCAGATATGATTGTTTTTGCTGTTGATTCTGGCGTGACAAGCGGTAACAAACTTGGAAAACTATATTGATGGATACAACATTAAATTAAATACACTCTAACAAATTAATAAGTCTAGACAATTTGTCTTTTAAGTATTTCATATTATACATTTGGAAAATGTTTGCCTTCAAGCTAGCTAAAAAGTCAATAAACTAAAAGGAATTTAATATTTTTGTTTGTACTGAATTAATCAACTTAAGAATATGTGATATACGCATATACTGTCTTACCAAGTCTACAACATAGTAAATTTGTAAGGCAGACATCACATTCTTGTAATATAAAAGAGGTTTGATTTTAATTTTTATGAGATATCATTAACTATCTTTTATTATATATTTGAATTGTCTATTTAATATGTAAAAAAAAAATGCATTTTTTTTTCACAAATTGTTATAAAACATAATTTTAAATACATATTTTTGAGATTTTCGTAATGCACATATTATACTGTGCAGTCTGGAAATTAGTAATATAGAATAATAATATGGTATGTATATAGGTACCGAATTTTAGGTTTCTTGCACAGACCAGTGTCTACCATGTACGGATAAATTACAGTAAAATGGAGATTTTCATAACCATCATCTTTGCATTCATCTATTATCGCTTCGGACAAGCCTGAAACAGAAAAAACAAACGTAATGTTTCTATTGATACATGATGCAGTTTGCCTGTTGTATAAGTACAGTTTACACCACTGACCTCTCACAGCAAATTTCGATCCACAGTAAGGCACTAAGTTTTTCAAGCCAAGCACACCGGCCATCGACGACAAGAACACCACGTGCCCTTTATTCAACACTTTCATTCCGGGTAAAAATGTATCGAGCATCTATGAAAAACCGTTCAATAATGTATAATACGAGTATGATGTAAGCATATAACATAAATAACATGGATATAAAAGACATTATCGTAGATATTATTACAATTGTTCAAAATATTTTTTTTTATTAATTTTATGAAGATTTAGTTGTGGCTGTTTCTAATACTTCTACTTTCAGAATCAGTATCACTAGAATACTGATTCTGAAAACCCATAATATAAATTTGTAGCGAAGTCTATGCTGGCAAATATTGGCTTTCTCGCTTTTTTTCACATACCAACTTAGGTATATTTTAGGCTGAAGTTCAGATATGTTTTCAATCCGTTTTTGCAGGTAGGTATATTTTATGATATACATTGAAAATAGCGGTAGGTTTTAAATAAACTTAACGAATTCAAATAATATTAGTTTAAATATGATTACAGACGTCGCCGTTAACTGGAAAGTCAATCCCAAGTATATCGACGTCAACACTACGCCAAAAGTGGAAAAACGAGACACTCGAGTAGTTCTAAAATAATCGTCGTTTAGCCTGGGAACCCACGGGCGTTATTATACCGCACAATAAAAAAAAAAAAATCTACCGCGCGTTTTAAATGCATACCAACACAACAGCGTCAATTTACGGCGCGTTTATTATATTATGATTACGACTATATTTAACTTTCTTATTTAATATGTGTCTATGTTTCAACTAGACAACAACATCGTATGACAGGCGAAAATGTTATTTTGTTTTCGGGTTACCGACTTTTTAATGAAAACGAAAACAAATTAATAGGAAACATGTGATGGGTACCAACATCCCTACCGACGTACCACCTACACGTTCTACCGAAGGTGCATTTAATTTAATTTTCAAAGGCGATTCTTCGTCTGACGACACTACGCTGACTGTCGATGCACAATAATGACAAATGAACGGATATTGAAGATAATAAACGCGTGCGTGTTCTTCGCCCATTTATCATAATATATTTCGACGGGAAATTCGTATTGCGCGCTTTTTTTTAAGTCAAAGTGCACGCGACAATATTTTCGAAACGTCGCGCGTTGATCTTGCGTGACCCATGTGTCGCGCTCTATTCACATTTTAAGAAGACACCACACCGACATCTACTGTCTTCGTCTTACACACGCGAGACACAGGTAAATTTGCGTTCAGTAGAACACGTTTTGTGCCGTTAGTTTTAATATTAAAAGCAAATTATTTTGTTATCAAACTTAAAGGTAAGCAGATTATACATAACATGTCCTAGCGTTGATGTTTTTTCGATTTTTCAATTTTCAAGCAAGATACAATCATTTTTTAAATTGTGATATTCAACAAAGTTACGTGTGTCTCATTTAAAAATAAAAATATCGAAAAGCCATCAACGCTAGAGCACATCACACAATTTTATATAACATATATTATATACTAGCTGTCCGTGTCACGTGGCAATTTTTTTTTTTGCCCATATTTATTTTTGGTTTTGACCGTGTCAGAAATGAATGAAAACAAATAGGCGGAAAGTGGGTAGTCCACCTTAGCCGGACTAAAAGTGTTCTATTGTGAAATTTGAATAGTGTAAATAATAGTACCTATAATAATAATAATAATAATACTAATAATAGTTTTTTTGTCCGTGACAACCAAATTATCATCCGTATTACCTTGGCTATAACCTTTGAATAAACAAAAATAAATAAATAAATAAGCAAATAGATATTTATACCAAATATACCTAAAAACCCCTATTTTACCACCTTGGGAGTTGAATTTTCAAAAATTTCTTTCTTAGCGGATGCCTACGTCATAATAGCTATCTGTGTGCCAAATTTCAGCCTGATCCGTTCAGTGGTTTGGGCTGTACGATGATGTATCAGTCAGTAAGGACAAGTTATTATATATATATAAACATTTATAATCTTCTTATCTTTAATTTTGGTAACAGGTCAATTAGCTTTAATATTAAAACTAACTTCACAAAATGTGGCCCTATTGAATGAAAATTGCGTTTGTAAAACGGAGACAGTAGATGTCGGTGTGGCGTCCTCCCATTCCGCATATTGTACCAAAAATGGTACGAATTAATTTTAATCGGTTATTTCACTGACAGATTATTCGATTCCAATACTTCTTGCGTGGCTTAATTCGGCACGAAAAACTAAATAATTTTGATACGAGGTACTTTTATCTGGCGGCAAAATTGCGTACTTTAATTTATAAAATAGACGAAAGCAGATAAATGTGATACATAAATTAATAAATAATTAAATAAATATAATATGGTGTAATTATTTTAGTTTTGTTTCGTAACAACATGTGTCCCATATAATATGGTACATAATACTGTCGACTAATTTAATGCATGAAGTCCTGCACAGATATATAGTTTTGGCGCGCGATACGCCATTTATGGCACACATTAAACTTTGAGCATTTTTCAGGATCATAAGAGGCCGAACGTTTTTGTACGTATTTTTCCATGTCATCTTGACTACAAATCTTTACACATATTTTTTTTTAAAAAAAAAAAAAAAATGCATGCAGAAAGGGGTTACCTAAAACACACTGCGGCGCAGTAAAAATGTCGCACGGTAAAATAACGCGTGTTCCCAGCCATATATTTTATTTATATTCATTATTCACCGTTATTGAATACCTACCTAATAACAATGGATGTTTATAATACTATAATACCCGTAATACATAGAGTTAATTACAATATTTAAATTGATAAAATTGTGATTAATTAGAAAAATATTTGCCAGTACAAATAATAGGTACCGACGTCGAATTTTATTAGCTTACCCCATAGCAGGGCCTCCATTCGAAGGATTCAGACTAAACTTTGGCAGTGCTATTTTAAAAAATACGTTTTCGGCCCGTATAAAATGTTATGATTAAGCCGTCATCGATAAAATGCAAAATTAATCGAATCACTGCCAATACCGGAGTCCGGTCGTGATGTGACAGATGTGAAATATGAGTTTAAAACAAGGTTTATATTGTTACCGCGGCTAAATATTCGGGCATATCAGCAAAATTATACAGTGCGCATCGAAATCACGGTACAATGAGTTATTCCGGCGGAAAAACGAATAATGACCGTAGTTTCAACGGTATTATAATGCCAGTAAATAGAGTACTTGAATATAAAAAAAGGAATGTGGGAATCCGAATACGAGCGAGGGGAAACTGTTTCCTGTTGTTCGGAAAAATAAACAGAATAGGTGTATAAATGACGGGACGGATCGAAAAATCGGCTCGATTTACATGTTTGCACCCTTATTGAAACACCGAAATGACGCCCCTGCAGGTCCATTGCGCGAAAAATATGCGTACTCCTGTCATCAGCGTTCTCGGACAAACCGGCTGTTTTTTTTTTTAAACAATACATATTTTAATTCATTGTTGTTCTATTGAAAACGCAATGATTTCAGAAATTGTTTAACACATACGGACAAGCGACATTTTGAAGGTCTTGATGCAAGTGCAGTCCGTGCTAATACACTATCGCCAAAACGGACGTGTCATGATAAACAAATAAAATCAAATATTTACGTTATTCGTATAATATAAACGTGACGATTCAAACTGAGAACCTTGACAATCGGACCTAGCCGAGTACAATAACTATTAGTGGGCCCGTACGAATACTTTGCATTTTTAAAAACAAAACTAAACAGCAAACATATAAAAACACTAACGTACCTAGAACCTAGTCACATTGATCAAGCAACGGATTTTCGTTACTGTCGTAAAACGAATCCAGCACAAAAATAGCAGTGTGCAAATACAATGAGCAATTGTGAATATTATTATTATTACTATTATTGACGATTCGTCAAAAACGCAGAACTACGACAGGGTTCCTTGTTCATCGATGTTAGTTTAAGTTTGAAAGGAGAAAAATGGGTTTTTTTATTACGAAAAAAACACCTTTCAGAAATAATATAAGATTTATAATTATGTCATTAATACGCGCACAATTAACAAAAAAAATAATAATTACCCATACCAAATATTGCCTATAAGGTATTATAATATGGTACGTTATACCGGGTAGATTACATAAGTACTTAATTAGTATTATTTATAGGAACGAAAATAACTAATTTATTATAATTGGGACATAACACAAAGCTAAATAATATGAGATTTTATTTTACAAATGCATACTTACTTTGAAGTTTTGTTGTTTTTTTTTTTAATGCATATTTGTTCTTTATTATAATTTTTGAGGCATTTTATTTAAGTAATTAGGAATTGTATCAATATTTCCTCCTCCCTCCAATGAAGTTTTTTTATCATTCAATAATACAACCAAAATTGTTAGATTTATATTCATTTTTTATTTTTATCATGCAATATTAGGGCTGTTTGCGAACGCAGGTTTTTCCTCTGCCCCGTGACCCGTGATATGCCGATACATTCATATTCCAGTTGTCCGTGTTTATAAACGGTTCACTATTACGCGTTCTGTTTGAAATTTATTTTATTTTTAAAGCTATTTGTTAATTAAAAAATGATTCGTTTGAACCTTTTTTAAGTGCTTATTTTAGATCATAAAGGGCTAATAATGAAGTTTTTTAAGTATTTTATTTTGTTAATTTTAAATGCTATAGTCCCGAATCTTGGTTGTAATATTTATAATGTATATGTTATAGTTAAAATAAATAGGTATAATAATATTTAAATAATACTATTATTTTTGTAAAGTTTATAAGTATACGCATCTACTAAATCTAAACATAAAGAACCCAGAAATATTGAAAAATATAATAATCTAATATCAAAGAAATTGTAAAAATATAAATAAGTATTGCATTTAAGGTACCTATATGATAATTTTCGTAATTAGGTGCCTAATCTAACCTATAAGTTTACTTTATATTATAGGACATTGAACAAATAATGTCCAAAAATAATGTAGGTAATAATTGTGTAATGGTTATAGTGGTTATAATTATTATTGTCATTTTTTGTTATTCTGCGATCACAGACGAATACAACACACACTGTACTACTACTATCTACATTCTGATCAGCAATCGAGGTTCGTAAATAAAATATAAGAAATATAATAATAGTATACTATTGTAAACATTACGTCTATAATATTATTATTATTTCAAAAGTGTAGAATTGTGTGTACGAACTCGGAATAATAGATAAAAACGTGAATAATTTTGTTTAATAGTACGACTAGTACGAGTACTATGGTGTAATGTGAATTATTGCGAATCCCAAAACGATGGCATTGATATATATATTTTACTCTAAATCGAGCGCATTTCGAACGGTTTCATTATCATGCTACGGACAAACTCAATAATAATATTATGTTAATCATCGTCGAGGGTTCGTAACGGTATTAATTTATTAAAAAAAAAAGCCGAACAATGAATGGGTCATTTGATGAGGTTAGGAAATTAACAGAATATTTAACGGGGTGATAATTGTTGGATTATATCTGTACGCAACGATAAATTATTGCAAACGAAAATCGATTCTGAACAAAGTTCGGTTAAACATGTTTTGATAAATTTAAAATGAAAACTGCACACCAACCAATTAATGTTTTGTAAATACACAACAAATATTACAATAATTGTTCGCGATACGTTTAACGAATTTTAATATGAAAATGAACTTAAAATGCTGATCGAAATTATTATCCATTACATTTACATACAACAAAACAAGCAAAATCTATTAAAACTTTTATTAACTCATTAAAGGCCAGAATATTTTGAAAATTATACCACATCTGAATGTGGAAGTATTCGGTGAAAGTTTTGAGATATTTATAAGATTACATTAAAAAAAAAAATATATATATAAAAATAAAGGAAACTTATATCGCGTGACCATTCTCATTCCCCTTTCCCCCCTCCGTGATTATGAAGAAATCTATAACGAACATAAAGACCATCATGAGTTATCAACTAAATAACATTAATTATCAAAAAACATTTCTAAAAACAACAGAAGTAGGTGATCGGAACAAGATTTTTGGCAGAAAATTTGTTCATAGACAAAATAATGTAGATACACATTAGTAAATAGTAATACGTTCAGAATCTAATATAGATAAACCTATTTTCGGTATGAGATTCTAGGCTGACTGGCCCTCCGTACCTGGCTGAAAAAATTCAGAATGTGAAAATCCAGAATTATTTTTTTACACGTGTTATTTTCGCTGTTTCATTGTACCTATATTATTAGGTTATTCATTGCTGTATTGTTAGGAGAAACAGTAAGTGTCAGCTCGCTGATTCTCGCACAAAGCTGTATTTAAATTATTCAATATATTATATTATATTATATTATGGCACTAGTGGCGAATAAAATAGTAGTAATATAGTTTAGTATAGGTTTAATGTAGGTTTAAAAGGCCATAAAAAAAGATAGGTAGTCTATATTGTTTAACATAATAAATACCAAAGGGTATTGTACGTAGATTTAACTCTGATAACAACAATGCAGTAACGTATAAAATGACTAGATAAGTATGCCAATTATATTATTAAATAGGTTAGAAAGGTTGCTCTTAACGTGTACGTTATGTTGTAGGAATAACAATTCTCACCGATATTAATATAACCTATAATAACAATATGTCTACTATGAGAGTCTGCGACGCCGACCACAAGTATGATTTTATCTTATAATATGCAAACCAATAAAGATTTATATCGCCTGACTCAAGTTTCGTTTTGTTATAATTTCAGTACTCATGCGGTTGAATATTTTTCAATAATATTAAAGATAAAAATATTAATGTCGAATAATACAGGAATGCACACGTCAAAATTGAATAATTTATAATCTCCGGAAGTTAAAAAACAGATATATGTATACAAAAACTGTTTTGTAATAAATAGAATCACTAAACATTAGTGAACTTAAAAGAATAATAATCGACAACTTGTTTTTTTTTTTTTGTTTAGACTATATTATAATCATTGAAATATCTTAGTAACTTAAATCGCTTATAATTTATGCCTAGTTAAATTATAGTACCTATTTACAATTGCTTGTTATAATGTATTGGCATATTTGTTAAAAGGTCAATCTGAAAATTAACCAGCTTTTTTCGAGGATAAAAATATAGTATCTATCTAATTCCAAAAGTGCTAGCATTCACGTCTTGTATTATAACAGTCGTTTTACACAAAAATATAATACATTTTAAAATGACTTATAATAACAACAGTATAAGCCCAATACAGTTATTTATTTTTTTACGCGGGAGCGAATTATTCTTTTAATTGAACAAATATACTTTCATTTAAAATGTTTAATGATGTTTATTATAATAATATAATAGTATGCTATACAAGTGGCAGTTAATACTTACCCAAAAGTGAGCGAAAACATTGATATCAAATATTTTCCTTATGGTAGCCTCGTCGTGAGCCTCGAAGGATTTACAAGGCATAATGCCTGCGTTGTTAACAAGAACAGTGACCGTTCCTACTTCGTTCTTTATCTTTTCCCCGAGCTCTCTCACGTTTTCCAATTTCGAAACATCGCAACTGAAAATTATGTTCACAATCACTATTAATTTAAATAAACTACAATTAGAAAACATTTCCTTTTGTATAGCCTAAAATAACGAGAACAAACAAAATACTCATATAATATATACTATCAGTGTCGCATAAAATCAGAGATGGAAAAGTTACTTCAAAATGAGTATCTGTAGATAAATCGATACTATAAATACGTATGTAGTAAATATTGCATTGATACTCGATACTTACATTATTTGAATTTAAATACTATAGATGCTCGATACTTGTGCTACATTAAAGTTAAAATATTAATTTTCGTAAATTTCCCGTTTTCTTACGTTTTATCATGGTTATTCCCAGATATTGTGAAAATCACTCGGAAAATCTAAAAATGATCTACCAAAAGTACCATCTGAACAATATTTACTTTTAGAAATGGTGCCGCGCGTACATATGAGAACAAGATTTCTGGTAGAATTTTTGAACAGGATAAAAATAAAAAATAAATATCTTTGTAAAACCAATACATTCTTCGCTAAACTCAAAACCTAAAACGCAAAGTAAAACCATTCAATAATATTGCGATTTTCGTCAAAATTTGAACTTACTAAAACGCTTAACAAAATCACTAACAAACAAGATAGTTAAAAAAATTGCTCAAAGGTCACCACAATGATTTGAACATTTTACCACGTCTAGAAAGGACTATGATATGTTTGGTAAAAATGTCGGGTACCCAGGTTTTAGGTCTAAATTGTACAAATATTTTGTTTGGTGGATTTAAGCCTCCATAATATGTACTTATACCTGATAAGAACTTGATTTGGAAGAGCTTGGCTAAATTTTGGAAGGGAAAAACCCCTACTTCTTCCTATTGGCGCTTATGTCTACGATGAAATTACTCCTAACTGAATTTTAGAAAAAAAAATCAAAAATAACAGAAACTATCATTGCGTAGGTGTAAACATTTCCGTTTTTCTAAATTATTACCCGTCTTTTTACAATTATTAAGAAATTTACAAAGGTGTAAAGGTTGAAAAAAAAAACAAACGGACATATTTTGCACGATGGGTGGGCCACTGTACGCTGTTATAGGTGAGATGTTTGGAAGGTAGAGAGTAAATTAAATGTATATCTGTACTCAACGATTGATCATTGCTAACGAAAAACAATTCTGACCAGAGTTCGGTTATATACACGTTTTGATATTTACGATTTGAAAATATATTTCATATATTTTGACTTCCCTAAAGTACCACTCCACTAAAATGTATTTTCAGAAAAGTGCTACACGTGAAATCGGAGCAAAATATCTGAAAGTTATTCATAAAAAAAAAACAATAATAATAAACATCATTGTAAAACGAATACATTCTTCGATCTGCTTAGAATCTAAAATGATACTGAAATTTAGTTAAGTTTACTAACAAATACAATTTACTACCAAGAACTATCTTGAAGTCGATGTTCGAAGTAAAAAAAATTGTTCTCAGATAACAAAAAAAAACACACACACACATAAACATACATACGTAAATATATTCATAATTAAACCAATAAATTCCTCACTATACATTCAGAAACTTAAAAAAAAAAAATTAAAGTTTAACAGGAAATATTATTTTGTTTTGCATAGCGTTAATACTTATACTATATGTAATACAGTAACAATGTACATAGTATTTAATGTTTGACGTCATTATTTGATGTTTGTACATTAGCATTTAGGAATATACTTGAACTATTAAATGCTTTTTAAGTTTGAATTGTAATATTATGTTATTTACCTAGCTATTTTAAGGTCAACCAAGGTGACAATAAATATTATAAAACCTATAACAATGCACACGTAAGATATTCTAATGAATAATACCGTAATAATTTACTCTGCAGAAGTCGATGTTCGGACTAAGAAAAATTGTTCTCAGATAATAAAAAAAAAAAAACACACATACATAAACATACATACGTAAATATATACATCATGAAACCAATACATTCCTCACTATACGTTCAGAATCTTAAAAAAAAAATTGAAGTTTAACAGGAAATATTATTTTGTTTTGCATAGCGTTACTATACTATACATTACTTATACTATCATATATGTAATAAAGTACAATGTACATAGTACATCATTTGATGTTTGGACATTATAGTTTAATAGTATACTTGAACTATTAAATGCATTTTAAGTTTTAATTATAATGTTATGTTATTTACCTACCTTTTTTAGAGTCAACCAATGTGATTATAAATATTATATAACCTATATTAATGCACACGTAATGTATTCTAATGAATAATAGCATAATAATTTATGTACCTATTCGATGTATGTATATATTATAATTAAAGACCAGATTTTACATAAAATACATATTTTTTACATTATATACATGCAGTCAATGGGAGTCGAGACTAGTAAATCATTGCCTGATTGATTAAATAACAAAACTGTAAAATGCGTATTTTTGTAAATTTTGAAATTAAAACTTAATTTAATTGTAATGTTAGGTTATTTACCTAGCTTTTTTAAGGGCAACCAAGGTGACTATAAATATTATAAAACCTATAACAATGCACACGTAAGATATTCTAATAAATAATACCATAATTTACTCTGCAGAGTATGCTTTTATATCGTAATTTGTTTTTACTTATTTTTGTATACTTGGTAACTATATCAAATGCGAGTAAGAAAAATACAAAAAAGCATATTTGGACTGTTTTAGTGCTTGTTTGCATGCATATTTATCAACAAGTAATGCAATACAACAAGTACAGAGAAATCCGGTTTATAATTATATATTGTATTATATTTTATATTATGTTGAATAAGAAATATAGAAAAATATGCATAGTCAAATAGTCATCACTGTATATATCTAATAGGCAATAATCTAATTAAAAGAGTAAAAAAAAATATGTATGTTTTTAATATCGGATTTCACAGCTTTAGCATTGCTATAGGTAAGTATAATGAAATCGTTCTCAAGTTAATAATTACCTAACTAGGTATATAAAACATTATAATAATTATTATAAACCGTTGTTATTAAAATATTATACGATCACTTACGTGTACGCGAAGGCTTTTCCTTTCCATTTGACATTTATCTCCTTGGCCGTTTCCGCGTTGGACTGTTCGTTGATATCCACGCAAATCACTTTTGCGCACATGTCAGCGAATTGCATAGCCAAACATTTTCCAATTCCGTGACCCGTGCCTGTAATCTAAACCGTCCCGCATCCGTCAATACATATTATATATATATACTATACATTATACAACATTGTTTATCACTGATAAGACATTTAAAATTATATTTTGAATGACACACGTGTTTTATTTTTTTTTTTTTTTTCGAATTTTCTCCTAAAATAGAGACTATTGCATTGTATTGTGTCTGTTATATATCTTTTTTCCGCTGGTGTTGCACATTTATAGCATTTTCCTCTAGAACAAAGGAGCTCAAACTCAGGAATCAGAGTCGTCTCGAAGGCGAATTCAAGTGATTTTTTTGAGTTGAATTTCAATGTGAATTTACTCATGTTGTTGAGGGTGGAGAATGTTTTTTTTTTTTTGGCACGGTACATCTCTACAGATTCCCCAAATAAAGCCGGAGGAATGAAATTTGATATATGCATGGGGTTAGTACAATTATAATTACTGATTCTTAGTACAAAGAATTTGGCTACTGATTTAGCCATTTTTTTTTTTTTACTTAATATTAAAATTTATTGTAGTGTAGTACCTATTATAAGCATTGATGTTATCATTTGGTTATTTATTGTTTTGTAAAGAATATTTCTTTTATACAAAATAGTCTGAGGAAAATTCAACTCTATAGTAACTGACCTTTGCTACACATAAGTGTCGAAAAAAAGAACTGTTTTCTTACTACTGTACTTACCAAAACAATATCGTCGGCTAACGATTTTTCCGGCAAAGGCACGACCATGTGATAAATCGATTCCACAATAAAGTATACGCTTTTGATCAACAGCAGCAACACCTCCGCAAAAATACTCAACGTCCATTTGACATTTTCCAATTGATCGATCCTGCGGGCCATTCAATTTTTTATAAATAAAATATTGGAATGATACCGTAAAACCGTAAAACCCGGCAGCGGATAAAATCCTATCGTTTTATACTCACACGACGGTAGACGAAGTTGACGACTGCATATTCGATTTCATCGGTATACCAACTCTGAAACGTAATAACTGCGGAAATTTGCACCGCGAGATTATATGCAAACAAAGGGCAATTCAATTCACAAGGTTTACGAGGGTTCGATTTAACAGAAAATCTACAAAGATAAATAATATTATTATTACTAAAATGTATTATATTACATAGATAGAATATATTATCCAAAGTGATATGAATAATTTAAATATTATTATTATTCGTATACATGTGCATGTACTTATACTTGCAGATAGGTATAAAATATAGTATACACATGATATACAATACAATAACTAATAATGTATGTACCTATGACAATAATATTTTGAAAACGCGATTTAGCATTTGAATTCGTTTTTTTTTTTCTATATTCACTCGCCTATAATATATACACGAGTATCTCTACCAATGGAAAAAAATCCTCTTTAAAACCGACAGATAACCTTTATATTTTTAGTCCCATCTTCGACCTCGTATGCGACAAGATATATTATTATTAGGTTTATATATAGATAAAGAACTTAACCTGGCTTTATTGTTCGTTCACACGCCGACGATGACAATGTCATCTTATCCGTGTGTATAATATTATAATATAGGTAACTGTCATACTGTATATTTTGGGGTAATGGGCAGCTATTTTTTGATGTTAACCACAGGCTCAATATTAGAGTGTGCCCATAAGTGTTAACGATGGATGAATGAAAATTTGTTTACACAATTATATAAATTGTTGACTCATAGTAAAAAGGTAAACATAATTTGTGTTACAATTTAGTAAAAACTATATAGGTACTTGTTTTTTTTAATTGTATAACATAAAGCGTCATCAATTCATCGTATATTCCATCAAATAGGACAATTTAGGTTTACGCGTATAGGACGATCTTTTCCTTGGAACAATATCAGATTTGGACTATCAACAATATTATATTTTGTAAAACTACTAAATAGTTGTCAACTTTAGGGATTTATCCCTAGTTAAAGGGGTTTTTCATTTTCCATGTAGATATAGAGAAATAATATGAAAACTAGTTCAAAAAAGTAAAAAATAAAGTTAGTATAATGTCCATGGTTTTTAAATAAAACTGTTATATTATCAAGTCTGCAAAAAATATTTGAACCACAATTTATATTATAATATTTGTTTGATCTTTGCTGCCCAATTTTTTTTTAACGGGCTAGTAATGAGTTAAAGGCTCTGTAAATTGCTAATAAACGTTTATGCAACCCAACTTATGTACATTATAAAAAACACGGCAGACGTCAATTTTATATTTTCATTTTTCGTAATTTATATTAATTATCGTCTATGTATTTTATACAGATAAAAAAATTACTTATTTTATTGCCTATATGTTGTTTTGGTTATCTCTATAAGGTAAAGTTATAAATTAGATTTATAGAAATGCTGTTGAACAGAATAAGATGTTGAGATTTTTAACTCTGGTTTTTTTTATTACAAAGAATAACATAATCTATGTATTTATATAATAAATACAAATAAATATTGTTTATTAGCTAGGTATTATCATACATTACTGTTGTTTTTAAAACAAGAATTTTAAGTGAAAAATATGTTAATGCAATATTAATTTAAAAAATTAGAATTTCTTTTCTCAACTAGAGATTTCTAGGTATTAGCGTTAGTGATTTCAGTAAACACCGAGTTGGAAACATTACTACTAAAACCAATTTAGTTACGTTTTGGCTTTAGCCAAACCCAGATGGTACCTGTAAATAAGCTTTATTATGGGATTCAATCACAATATTCGATTTGGACAGATAGTCACACCTATATATACAGGTTTTTGAATTTACGTACGGTATACCTAACAACTAAACAAATTTTCGTCAACTATTGATAGATAGATTGATATGTATTAAATATATATAATACCCTAAAGGGTAAGAGTACAGTAAGCGAAAAAAACAAAAATTATCATTAAATTATACATTAAATATTTAAATTATAAATACAAGTTTTTAGCTTAAAACAGGAATCGAAAAAAATATCAAAATTATGAATTTGATAACACAATATTGGTAGGCGACACACCGTACTATATGAAAAGTAATTATTTTTAGAATGAGGAGTAGCAAAAAGTGAATTAATTCTGAAATTAAAAGAGGGTATTTAAGGCCAATTTTTCGTAAGAATTTAAAGCAGTCGATAACACCATTCAAGATCCTATACATAAAAGATACATTATATGCTAACTTTCCAGTTTTCAGAGACTTTAAACCCAGAAAGTTAGCAATCTCATCAGCATTATGATAAGGATAATTAGTTTTATAAGCATAAAAACGCAAAAAAAGGCTTTGGATCTTTTCTAATTTATTAATACGGAACTTGATATTTAATACTGATTAACGTATTCAAATTGACTGCAATTCTATATTAAGGACACTTCGGGTCGGCCGATGTCGAAAAATTTGTTTTTTTCAGTGTTCACTGGAAGAAAAAAAAAATCACTACTTATATACAGATTATATTGTGTACATTTGCTTGACGTTCGTTTTCAAGCTAACATAATAATATCCGGGACCTAAACTTAAACAAATTTCACCACAAAATTATGTATACATGCACTGCTAACCTTCTAAACTCTCACTAATTTATATATACATATTATTCAGCGATGATGAAAGGAAATTAACAAAACTAAAACTAAGCGATCAATATTTTTTTTATCAGAAAAATTATTGATTATTCATTTCTATTACATAATATAATCGTTATTATATTTTTACATAATGAAAATAAGCGCACTAACCTACCATTTACACTCAATGGCCAAACGGTTTGGCCATTTGATTTTGTAGATCTAAATGTTGTTTTTTCCCTTTTTTAAGTTGAATTGATAATATGATGATAAATTTTCGAACGAAACCAGGTTTGATCAAAAGCTTTTTCAAATACCTATTGCCTATTCATATAATATCCACTATTCACTGTTCGAAATATTTTGCCGGTCACCATACATACAAATACAATTGTACCTATTATAAATTTAAACAATAATCGAATGCGTACGGTAATTTAGATTTTAGAACGATAATATTTATGTAACTTGGAATTAAATAAAATTTCAATCCAATAGTGCATGCAACGTCCAAAACAAATCATAGCAACACTTTCCTTTTCAACGTATATACTGCAGCTGTACTAACAATATCTTAAACGATTTTCGCGTAGAACACTTTCACTTTCTTCGCCGTATAACTTTTTTTTTCCCCCAAACGTTTTGGTTATTGGTAAACAATATATTATAAATATCTACAATAAAATTATGTGTGCTCGCGAATTAAATAAATGGGACAAGTGGATACTATAATTTTATTCTTATAAAAATTTGTTAAAATTTATAACAATATAGTATGATATTTCTGTAATCCTATATGATGATAAATACAATAAAATTTTAAAAATAATACGTAAATAACATTTTCGATAGCTGGGGTGATTATTAAAGCCTTTTTGCTTTCTTATTTTAATATTGCCTACTGGTCCTTCCCCCCCCCCAAAAAAAAAAAACAAATTAATTATTCACAAGCAAATTAAAACACTACAACGAAAATATATTGCATAGTGTAAGTACCTAAAAACAAAAAAAAAACGTACATTTTGTCCTAGTAGGTATATTTTAAATATTATATACTCTTGGATAATAACCCACTTATATTTTATATTATAACAGCGTAATCCTTATTTTTATAGAAAAAAAAAATTATAAATACCTAATAATAACCTACTCAATGTACTGCAGTACGTCTGTACATATAAATATAATTCGATAACCGAGGTGAACAAACTGAACTGAAGTACTGAACAAAAGTAAAAAAAAAGTGAACATATATCAAACTTGCATTTTACATAACAGATCACTACTGCTCGAATGATAACAAATAAAAATACATTTTGTGTTTATTCTCGGACATAAATAAATGCGGTTAATATTAGTATCTACGATTTGTCCATAAATCACGTCATGGCATATACCTACTCGTAACCAAAATCACTACTAATAAGGACGTTAATTTTTAGGAGAATATTGAGTTGAACACAGTGGCGTATTTCCGGAAGGTACTGGGGTTCCATCCCTCTCAGAGACACACAACTTTTATCATAGTGGGCTTATTATGTTTTTGGTGAACTTAACGATATTGGAAGCGGTGATTTTCTGCCTTCGTTTTACAAACGTTCAACATAGGAATTATTTAGATATGATTTATTTCTGAATTTTAAAAATAAATTTGAATTTGTGAATTTGTCTTCAAGTCTACTTGTAATCGACTTTTCTCACTTAATTTTAAACGATTCAGGGAATGATTGTTGGATAAAGTTGTTGTGATGGTTAACATAATATTTTATGTATTTATTATTATAGAAAGATTATTAATACTATTTTTTTTAAAATTCAATTTTTAAAACATTCGATCATGACTGATGCTAATTGACTCATAATATGTAATACAATTATATGAAGATTTTTTTTCGAAGTATTTGGATAATTACTATATTATGGAGATAAACCATCACCCTTCCCTTCATGACCATCATTAATACGATAGAGTATTAATATTAAATTCTCAAAGAGAAACTCCGTCTAAACTAAGACATGGAAAATCTAACAGAAATGATTAAATTATAAACAGAAATTATTTACAGCTATTATATGAAAAATCGAACATATTGTTGACCATAAGAACACGATTATTTTATTAAAAACCGGCTTAATTTATTTATTTTAATTATTATAATAAAACTCGTTAATGTACTTAAACCGACGATTGGACAAAATTCTGTACAAAATTATTATATATTATGACGTGATGGTGAGTCCATCCTCAACGAAATAAATGTTATTTATCGTTTTTATTATTATTTCTTACTTTTAAACAATACTTAATAAAAAATTATTTTTTAATAATCAATATAAATTTAACTTCAATATTGGAACGAACAATGTAGTTTCTCATCTGGCGTTTTTCACCCTAGTTTTAGTAATAGGTATTTGAAATGATAAACTGTTGCCAATGAACATAATTATTAATGCTATAGTTCATGATAATTGTTTTGAAATACCTCTATTTTTACGATTTTTACACAAATTTTAACTTATGTTTATAAAAAAATACCACTACTTACATAACGTTCACATTTTTTACCATTATACGTACATTATCATAGGTATGATGAACCTCGCGTTAAATTTTCGATAATTCGTTTGGGTCAAAACACTTTTATCCATATAAAATCAAATAAACATTTTAAAAACTAGAAAATTACAAATGGCTATTAATAGCTCAAAAATAGCCAGAATGTTTTGAACATTTTGAGATGTCTAGAAAAGTCTAATTTAAGTATTCGGTGAAAAATTTCCAATTTATGATTATTGTTAATCGAATACAAACACACAGAAAACAGATATTAGAATCGAAGAGAAATAAAAACCAGGGAAATACATATTACGTGTCACGCAATTTTACTGCAGTCTACAGTGCTGTTTTTGTTTCAACTGAAAATAATAGGTACCTACTGAAAATTACATATCTGATAAAGTCGCTTCCTAATAATTAAAAAATAAATGTATTGAAAAAATAATTTATTTCCGCGTATTTACGGGGGGGAGATTATAGAAAGATATATATCCCCTCTTGTATCTATTGTTTACACGACTAAATATTTTAAAATTCAAATTTCTTTACTTTAAATTTAAAAAATTTAAAAAAATGTATGTTTCGATACTTACCTATCGTTAATGATGTTAATTTATCAAAAAAAAACCTGAACATATAAATTGTCTCGATTAAAACGATACCTACATTCAAAACACTAAAATACAAAGGAGATTAGATTATAGTACTTATAAATAGTAAATCAATTAATAATAATAATTATCTAAGTGTACCTATAGGACATCACTAACCAAAAATATATAAATTAAAAATTTGTCTTTTTTTAATAGCCTGGGTACACGTTGAACAATACGACGACACAATTTCCAAATCCGATATCTACTTCCTTGGCGTTTCCAAAAAATAATACGCTACTGCGTAAAATACAGATGCCTAATAGTAAAAACATGGTAAACATGGTTTACGAACGTATCAGACGTACCCACAATAAGTAAGAGGTAATGGAAAAGTGGGAAATAAAAAAACGAATTTTTTGAAAAACCCGAGTAATTCATTCGGGCGGGTGCGAAAATATTTTCGAATATTACACGGCAATAAATATTATCGTTCGTGAAATACGATCTCACAGAAATATCTAATCAGTACCGTTATCGGTGGTAATGGCCTTTTCGCGATTTATAATAAAACGTCGGTGGCGGTGGAGGAGAGACGAATGAAATAACAATGACGATAACAATAATAATAATTCGAAATTTCAAAATGAATAGACGAATTAAATTTGAAAAAAAAAAGAAAAACTCACGTTTCCGAAACTGGTGCCGGCTGAACGCGAGGACGGCGGAGGAAAAAAAAAAACCTAAAAACACCCCTCCCCGGATTAGTCGACAACACAATTTACACGGTATCGCGGCAGAGCACCCGGACGCGCGGCAGACTGCTTCGGACTGTTCGCCGTAATACGACGCACGCCACCGGGCCGGCGGCGAGAGCGAACGGTTCGGGATGGGGAAACTGGCGCGGCGCCGACGCCGACGCCGACGCCGCCGCTGCCGCCGCCGTCCGACCGAATAGACGCACGATAGGCATTACAATAACACGCGATACGACCGCGCTGCTATTATTATTATTATTATGATGATTGTTATTGATGTTACGCAGCGCGAACGGCTGTAGCGCACAGCCGCCCCGAACACAAGAGGCCGCTAAACAGCGTGTCCCCCATCGCCGTTGGTTGCGCCGTCAACACGCATCGCCGTAAACGCCGCGACGGGCGCACAAACTCTGGGGCTCGGGTTCGAGAACGGCCGCGCTCGCCAGTGAACGGCTGTCGGACACTCGAGGGCGACCGGCGTTTTCGGTGTCGCAGCGTACCGATTTTCCCGACACAAAATGATTGTCGAGAAAACGCCCTTTTAACGCTGGAAAGAGCATACGATTGAATTCCGCACAAAACTCGTTTTCGCGAGAACGGTGACATTGGACCTTTTTGACCCAAGCCCCACAACTGTACTACAATGTAGTTCGTCTATCTGCTCGACGCCCGTAAATAACGCGTAAAGGCCAACACTTTTGATAAGAAATACACACTGCCGACGAACCGGAAACGTGTTCACGTAGGGATCCGTACATGAGCATATAGAGGTGAAGGTGTCATATTCCTCCTTGACTTCTTCCCCCCCCCCAACACCGATAAATCGTTTATTTTACGCTTTATGAGCTTTCCGCGATTTTGATATATTTTTTTTTTTTTTTCTATTGATTCCATAAGACAATAATCAATACATTTATTTGTTGTTCTACTTTATTACAATAAATTTATAACACTATACAAAATATTATGTTGTCTAATTCGTAATAATAGATGTATTAATTATTGTTTGAAGGAGTAGGTAGCCGCCAAAGTTATCGTACCAATTTCTACACGAAAACACATGCTTGTGTTTAATGATTTTGCACCAATAACCAGTTATTATATATCTGTTCCTCACCCTCTTATTAAAATGCTGAGAACGCCAGTATCACGAAATATTTATGATCATGTACGCGACGCTACTCGCACGTCCGTCAAATGTGTAGACGTCGAATCTACACGATAATGTAAAATCTATGTAAAACAGTGTACGCTTTTTGTCAAAACGAGCTAATCATTGATAAGTATCGATTACCGTACGGTAATCGGTCACCGATAAATAAGTTTTATAGATACTAACCGTCATCGTCTTACGATAAAAATTACAAAATAATGTAATAGGTACCGCAGTGGTGACTGTCGTACGTCGTTTGATGCTATAACGTCGTCGGAATCGGAATATCATGTCGATTTTAAAAAAACTGAAAAACGAGAAGAATAACTGGCACAGTAGATTTCGGAAATACTTAAAACAAATAAAATTAATAATGGTGCACATGAGCGAAAACAAAATCAGGAAAAAAAAATCTTCGGCCTTATCTTTTGTTTACATGGACGTTATCAACGAATACAACCACTGATATAAAAAACATAGATAAATTATATGGTGATAATGTATATTATCAAAAAAAAAAAACTCTTTTGATAACGTATCGCACGTGGTCCACCCACAGAATAGATTAAATCCGCCACCGATTAGATAAAAAAAAGAGCCGATACTGCTAATATTGCTGCGCCACAACCCACAGTTGTAGATGTATACTTGGGTAGGTATGACACATTAGGTTATTTAAATTTTATCTGTAAGTATCGATAAACCATCACCATTGCTAACGAAAAACGATTCTGAACGAAGTCCGTTTAAAAACGATTTGAAAAGCTTTAATATTTACGATTTGTACCAAAATTTGAACGGGTTTAAAATCGTTAGAAAAAAAAAAGAGATGTGATACTCGGGACGGGTACAGTCACTGTTGAAGGTGGGTTACATAAAGTTATTTAATCTATACCTATAACCAAGGATAAACCATTGATAACGGAAAAAACGATTCGGAGCGAAGTTCGATTATACATGACACGATTTTTGTCAAAATTTGATTTTAAAACTCTTAGAAAAAATAAAAATACTACATTAAACTGAGTTTTTTTTTTTTTTACCACTAAGTAGGTACGTCTTATAATAAACATCCTATCAAATTTTAAAGCATTTCTGTTTAAAGTCTAACAAGTTATCTACGCAGAACCTACCAAATAATAATTACAATAAAACTAGCAAAATTAAAATGTCTATAAATAGCTTAAAAATTTCTCAAATGTTCTGAATGTATTACCACGTTTACAAAAAGTAAATAAAAGTTTTCTATCAACATTTTAAATCTCCACGAATATTTTGAACTAAATTATATTAAAAAGACAAACATTTTTTTGAAAAATAATAAAATCATATTTTTATAAATGTTCCCCTTCTTTCTACATTTGTTTTCAGTTTTGTTTAATTATAAAAAAACCACATTAATAAACGATCTGCTTTGTCACTAACTAGGCTAAAAATTCAACCAAAAGATCAATTGGTGTTATTTTCTTTTTGAGTAATATTTCTCGTAGAAATTAATGGAAAGTGTAACAATTTAAAATAATGAAATCTTAACGCTGTAAATTTCTCAGTTGTCATTTTATGTTTTTTTCCGATTTTTCCTATGTATTAATCAAAAAATGAATAACTTACTTATGAATAAGATAAAAAATTTAACACAAAAGCTGTCTTGATTTTTTTCTAGTTTAGCAATAATTATGGTAGAAAAAATATGTCGTAAAAATTTAAAATAATGAAATCGTGCCATAATTTGAAATAAATCGTATTTTTCGTCTTCTTTAGTTTTTTCTAATTATTATGAAAAATGTTTTATGTATAAAAAAAAGACTTTCTCTATCAGTGACTATATACTAAAAGGAAAAATATCGATTTTTTATCATTTTTCGATTGGATTAAGATTTCTGGTAGAAAACATCATGAACAAAAATTAAAAACAATGAACATTGTAACGCATGGCATCGAAAATTTTGCGTCACGGCATCATTCGAGTATTATATTGAAGAATGCGAATGTATGCTATTCAACCATAGACATATTATTAACAACACATTATTATTAACTGCAGTGGACCGCGCCCAGAGTGAATATTACTCTGCCAACGTGTGATAAACAAAAGGGGATGTTCGGGAAGAAAAAATGTACGCGTTTCTTTTTTTTTTCCATGATTAAAATTTGAAATCGAATTTAAATGTGGGTATCGGCTACGCGCGACAAACCCTCGACAATTGGCTCGCGCGGCAGCCCCGCCAAGCCGATACTAAATGGAGCCGACTCGAAAGTTGATGCGCTCGAACACGCCCCGCGGCGAGCCGACCTGTGTCGGTGTTTAGGCACCCGGCCAAAGAGCTGCAGTTAATTACTCGCGAGCCGTCGGGGCGGCTTTTTCGTTGTTATTTCGCTCGCGTACCACTGCGGATAACGAAAATTGTCGTGATTTAACACGTAATTGTGTGGCGCTAAAGATTTTTCGTGGTAAATAGTAAATCTCCACTTAACCACAACAAATCTCATTCTCATTTTCTTCGCCTGTACCTCAATTAAGATTTCTAGTGCTCAAATTCTAAAGCATAGTTGTCGGTCTTGTAAGATTTCTGATTGTATTTTCAATGGCTTCATGTCTCTCGTATTGTCTTCTATAAGTTTCACACCATGCTGCATTCGATTTAAACACAATTTTTCATCCGCCAACGAAGTTTTCGCTTAGGTTTGTTTTTAATAATGTGATACATCACGATGAACGCGGCAGCAGCTGTTCAGGCACGTGAAACATCCATGGCTGATACGTGACAAGTGACTACTCGGGCGAGCAGCTCGATCACTTGCCACGCTCTAATGAAAGTCGATACTTACAATGGTTCGCGCGGAAAATGAATGGTTAGTATGTCTCTGTATTCAACCATAACCGTAAAATCGAGTAGATATGTGATAACAATCTTTCGATCTGCCGCGATTGCCTCGTATCAAGGTGGATTAATATATACCCACCATAGATATATAAAATACCTAGATAGCAAAATCGTATCTATTATTGAAGTCAGACGCTATTTACAGGTAGGGCAAAAGCGATAGTGAATTATTGACGGTTGTTATTCTTATTATTACAATGCGTCCATTATGAGATAATAAACATCGAATCGATATAAAAATCGATAATACTTGTATCGATGTCGATTATATCATATTTTGCAATCGTTTTTGCCCCATCTGTAAATGGTTGACGACTTCAATTTGTTGTCAAGCCAGTATACAGAGTTTGATATCTAGTTATTTTATATATCTATGATATCCACCTTGCCTAGAATATTTGAGAGGTTGAGCGCAACAGTGACCTATTCCATCAGACAGTTAATTGGATTTATATAGCTTTTTAAATTCTTTAAAAATTTTAATAAAAAAATCATTATTAAAAAAAAAATGTATTTCATTAATTTTTATTATTGAATATCGGTACATCCAAAACATAATGTTAAGAGTTCTTTTGAAACTAATCGTGCAAAATAATATTAATAACCAAATAGTTATATTTCATAATATATCTACGTTCAATAATAACGTAATTTTTATTCGGTAGGTACTGTGATGTAATAAACTGAGAATACATTTTATTTTTAATACGTTACAAAAATCAGGTAAACAGTATTTTTGTAATCTAATTTAGTACATTGTAAATATGGAAAAAGTACGAAAAATTTAGTATGTTTTAATTGGAAAAATTATAGGTACTAAAGTGTGTTACGCGTTCAATTTTTTGGGACACATTTTTGTATTTTTTTACTCGCTTCTGTTTATATTGACCAAGTATACAAAAAATATACAGAGCATGCACTAATATCAAAATTTACAAAAATACGCATTTTACAGTTTTGTTATTTAATCAATCAGGCAATGATTTACTAGTCTCGACTCCCATTGACTGCATGTATATAATGTAAAAAATATGTATTTTATGTAAAATCTGGTCTTTAATTATAATATATACATACATCGAATAGGTACATAAATTATTATGCTATTATTCATTAGAATACATTACGTGTGCATTAATATAGGTTATATAATATTTATAATCACATTGGTTGACTCTAAAAAAGGTAGGTAAATAACATAACATTATAATTAAAACTTAAAATGCATTTAATAGTTCAAGTATACTATTAAACTATAATGTCCAAACATCAAATGATGTACTATGTACATTGTACTTTATTACATATATGATAGTATAAGTAATGTATAGTATAGTAACGCTATGCAAAACAAAATAATATTTCCTGTTAAACTTCAATTTTTTTTTTAAGATTCTGAACGTATAGTGAGGAATGTATTGGTTTCATGATGTATATATTTACGTATGTATGTTTATGTATGTGTGTTTTTTTTTTTTTATTATCTGAGAACAATTTTTCTTAGTCCGAACATCGACTTCTGCAGAGTAAATTATTACGGTATTATTCATTAGAATATCTTACGTGTGCATTGTTATAGGTTTTATAATATTTATTGTCACCTTGGTTGACCTTAAAATAGCTAGGTAAATAACATAATATTACAATTCAAACTTAAAAAGCATTTAATAGTTCAAGTATATTCCTAAATGCTAATGTACAAACATCAAATAATNTGTTAAACTTTAATTTTTTTTTTTTAAGTTTCTGAATGTATAGTGAGGAATTTATTGGTTTAATTATGAATATATTTACGTATGTATGTTTATGTGTGTGTGTGTTTTTTTTTGTTATCTGAGAACAATTTTTTTTACTTCGAACATCGACTTCAAGATAGTTCTTGGTAGTAAATTGTATTTGTTAGTAAACTTAACTAAATTTCAGTATCATTTTAGATTCTAAGCAGATCGAAGAATGTATTCGTTTTACAATGATGTTTATTATTATTGTTTTTTTTTTATGAATAACTTTCAGATATTTTGCTCCGATTTCACGTGTAGCACTTTTCTGAAAATACATTTTAGTGGAGTGGTACTTTAGGGAAGTCAAAATATATGAAATATATTTTCAAATCGTAAATATCAAAACGTGTATATAACCGAACTCTGGTCAGAATTGTTTTTCGTTAGCAATGATCAATCGTTGAGTACAGATATACATTTAATTTACTCTCTACCTTCCAAACATCTCACCTATAACAGCGTACAGTGGCCCACCCATAGTGCAAAATATGTCCGTTTGTTTTTTTTTTCAACCTTTACACCTTTGTAAATTTCTTAATAATTGTAAAAAGACGGGTAATAATTTAGGAAAACGGAAATGTTTACACTTACGCAATGATAGTTTCTGTTATTTTTGATTTTTTTTTCTAAAATTCAGTTAGGAGTAATTTCATCGTAGACATAAGCGCCAATAGGAAGAAGTAGGGGTTTTTCCCTTCCAAAACTTAGCCAAGCTCTTCCAAATCAAGTTCTTATCAGGTGTAAAAACATATTATGGAGGCTTAAATCCATCAAACAAAATATTTGTACAATTTACACCTAAAACCTGGGCACCTGACATTTTTACCAAACATATTATAGTACTTTCTAGACGTGGTAAAATGTTCAAGTTATAGTATAACGTTAGTTGTTAATTAGAAATTAGAAAATATTAAATTTTTGTTTCCTTGAAAATTATGAAGATGTTATAGGTAAGTTTTGCTTAGGATCATATAGTTTGCACACATCTACTAACATTACAATTCTTTTTCACACAAATTATACACATACATTTTCCTTATGTAAACTTAAGATTTATCTATTGTTTATGAAATTGTTTAGATTTGTCTATGAATATTTTAACCTTATGTGTGTGGCTTAAAATATTATTTTATTTATATACAATTTTTTTATTTTAATATTATTAGAATCAAGTACTTTAAAATATATATTGGTATATAAGTACTTTCTACATCCATTGCTTCAGATTCTGCATTTGTAGTTTGCTTACTAAAAACTAAACCAAATGATTAGGCTTTTGTTTTTTCCTTTTACCATCTAGTTAAAATTAACAATAAGATATTTGATTATAATGTAAATAAATTCAAAAATTAGTATTTAATTAAAATTTACCTTCTGCTTGAGATGGGATATCAATTGGTATACCATGTTCTTTGGAAAATATTTGTATGGATGATCATTTATAAGAGAAACTATCAGAAGTTCGAGTGTGTTTGAAGGATTTTATTAAACCATTAATTAATTTTGCTGATTTTCTAAGTATGTTAATAGAACATAATAAATGGAAATAAATGGTTTATGATAAATTGTCCTCTTATAATTGTAGAGATTATTCCTAAATAATACAAATATTAAAATAATGATTTGTTGTGCACAAATAATAGACCATGTGTATTAGACATATTATCATGCAAATAAAAACTATTTTGGTTAATTATATAATATTATAGTATTATACTTATTGCTTCATTGAAAATCTTTATCAGCTTCATTTTTAACTTCTTTTTGAAGTACACTGAGAATGCTTATAAAACATTGTTTTAAAGCTTCACAGTTTATATACCTGCAGTTCAACCTTGTTTTACCTTATTTAATACTAATTTTTAAAATTAGTTTAAAAAGTTTTTATTTTTACACCTAATTATTTTTGTAAATCAGTTAATTGGATATTATTTGAGAAATTTAATTTTAATAAAAATTTATATCAATACATGAAATGTTATAAAAATGTTGGTTTCTATGTTTTATTCGACAGTTGAATACAATATCTGTCCAGCAGTTCAACAACTGAATTGCACAAATAATTAGCTCTATTTCATTTTCTAATTTTTAATAAATAAACATATAAAAATAAACAAAAAATACAGAAAAAAAGGGCATAATATTTTAAGGTAATACCTACATTTACTACATTTTCTTGTTTTTCCTCAGTTTTTTGGTTTTTAGCATTTGAAATGAAAACTCTTGAGAAAATCGAAAAATAATGTCCCTAAAGTACCTCCCCACACCAGTTTACTTTAAGAAAAGGTGCTACACGTGAAAATCGGAGCAAGTCCTCTGGTAGAAAAGTTGTCCACAGAAAAAAAAAATAAAATAAACATCTTTGTAAAACCATAAGCTTTTGCTCAGAATCTAAAAGAAACATGAAACGTATATAAAATGAAACATGTGAATAGGAAAATTAAATTCAAGTTTACTTACATCAACTAAATAATACTAATTTAAGAAAATATGTAATTGGTATTTTGAGTTATATTTCTAGATATATAGTGAGAAATATGATAAAAAAATTAGTGTGCTCTTTTTGTATTGAAATCGATCTGATCATAATAATTGTACAACTTTTACTTTTGTGAAGGCAGTTTGTAGAGGTAAAGCAATTAATGCTTTAAAAGCTATTTTGTTAATAGTGCAACATTGCGGATGGGTGTGTAATGCTAAATGGCTTGCTTTTACTAATTATTATGTATTTATAGTTGCTTAGGTAAGTTAGCTTAATACTTTATGCTCGGTTTTATGTCATGGGTATTATGCATACAACTAAGTTTTCTTATAAATTTACTTAACTCTTAACTCATTTCCGAAGATTGGCATCAAATAGTTAAAAGTTATTTGAATTAATTTTGTAATCAACTTAATAACTTAAAAAGTTATAGAAAATTGCAAGAACATTAAAACATTAAATGAAAAAAAAATACATCCATTTAAGATCTTGTACTTACTAGCTAGTGGATATAGTATTCTGTTTTAACAAAATATTCAGTTATTATTTTTAAAAAATGGCATTAACTTAACCATCTTTGTTAACTTCAAATTTAATTGCAAATCATTTTTAAAGCATATTTTATTGATATTTATGTGTCTAAAATATTAAAATATTTGATTTACTGGATAAAATAATTAATATATTGTTAGTTGTTACCCATGAATTTAGATAATCTGCTACCTACTTGCTACAACATTGATTTAAAATTATTAAGTTTATTATTTTTCGAATTAACAAAAGATAGCTCATTCTCAGTGGTTTAATGATTCTAAACTTTTACCTTGGCTTAAGTTGAAGAGTTATGGGGATGTTTGGACTGTGCATTGTACCTGTATAATAGGATTAGGTGAATGCTGTTCACATGTTGGTACAATGCTATTTTACTTAGAGTATGCATGTTTGAAAAAAGCACACTCATCTAGTTAATAACAGATGTTTCACCATATTGGGAAGCTTTATCAAACAAAAATAATGTTGAAATCCAAAAATAAATAATATTAATTTTAGTCATCCAAAAACAATGAATTCAGAATGTAGACAACCTCATAAACAAAACAAAGTGTTATTATAAACTTACCAAAAACATTTGATGATAATCAGACTTTTCATAACTTTTTATCCAAATTAAAAATAGTAAATAGTAATGCAGCTATTTTAAATGTTGTTCTGCAATATAATTTAAATTTTAAAACAAATGCATTTCCAAAATATTATTCGAACATGTTTAAAGATGAAAATGCTAAGCTTAACAGAGAAAAACTTCTTACTCTCGGTTCAAAATTTGACTTCTGTTTAATTAAATCAATCTGTGGTGAAATTGAAATAGAAACAAAATTGCAGTCAAATTCTAAAGAATGATTTTTATACAGAAGTGGTAGAATTGCTGCCTCAAGGGTAAAGGAAGTTTGTTCTGTCAAGTCATATGAGTCTAATATAAGTCTCATTAAATCAATTTGTTATCCGTAGATCAATTCTTTTAAAAAAAAAGCAACTGAATGGGGTAAAGTTCATGAAATTTATGGCAAGCGAATGTATATAGACAAGTTAGAAAGCGATCATATACATTTTTCAGTGACAAATAGTGGACTTGTCATCAATCCAAATATCATTAATACTTTTATTAAACTCAAATGCAGTTATTGTTGTGTGAAGTATGGAGATTTTATGATATGGCCTCCAAACTAACACTATAAAGAACATATATATATATTAACAATGAAGTATGCAAAGTATGGAAATAATAGCAAAGTCCCGATGGTTTTTCTATGAAGCAATATTACCTGAGTTACTTAGCAAATATTTTACCAATAGACATTCCATTGGATATACAAGTATTGAGGTCCTAGATATATTATTTTATAATTATTGCACATGTAAATAATTATGTATATAAATCATTCAAATTATGAATATAGAATACACATGAATACATAATTTACTTTTACATTAAAACAATTAATCTATTAATCCAAGGGATTTTTTTACACATCCAGTTGATGATAAGGAATAATTGATAAGAAAATATTATCAGCATCAAACTGATCAATACAATATTTGTGAATATTATGTTTTAAATCTACAAATTTAACTACTTAGTTTCAATAATACATTTTAAGTTAATAATTTTTCTATGAAATTAATAATTTGTTTTATACCTAATACGGCCGTGACTTCGTTTTTTTCAAATATATTGTCTTGTTTTTCATAATTTATCATTTTATAGTAGGTAAATAGTTTTTCTGTTTTTTTTTTTTTTTTACTAAATATCAATTTTTATTCATGAAGATCAATTTTACGTTAAAATTTTTAGATTTTCAGTTCTGTTGAAATCCTTTCATCCCATAGGTTTATATAAAATTAATATCTCATTGCTTAGTTTTCTTATTATTAAAATTATCATTTAGATATGCAAATGTGATAAAATAATATTATATATTTTAGTATTATTTAACTTATGTTATTAAAACTCAATAACATAAATTTTATCTACACTAATTTAAAATCCCTTATTAAATTGAATTATTTATTATTTATTTTTATAGAATTTTTAATTAGATTGTACAATATAAATATTATGCTCTTAAAATGATTCATTTTTTTTATTAGTTAATGCAATTGATTGTTTGTACAATCTATTCTATTAATTTATATTAACATTATTATACAGTATTTAAAATAAAATACATTGAACTAGTGTATACTAAATGCAAACAAAAAAACACATCAAATTAAGAACCATGATAAAATATTTTAGAAGAATAATGCTGTTAATAGTCATATTGATTTAAGTTTAGTATGTCCTTATTTATCATAGGTATATAGATAATTGAAAACATTCTTTTCAAAACTCCAATTTAAAATAGTTTAAATACTTACCTACCTACCAAAATTTTATCTTATTTACATTGTTCCATGTCTGACAAATAATGTTTTTATGTATAACACATCACAGTTACAATAACAGAGAAAAAATATAATATTAAATATTAACTTTCATACCTAGCTATCTAAAAAAAGTATATTTACATTGTATAAACATTGCAAGTAGTATCTTTTATATTTTTGAACCATCAATTTTAATATTGTATTTGTAATAAGTACCTATTAATTTTGTTAAATTCCATATATTTTAACAACAATATTCAGTAACAATATTTTAAAGAACTGATAATATAATTGCATATTATATTTTAGGAGTTATAAACTTTCAGTCTTAAAATTATGGATAGGCCTTCCCTATTTTTTTTTCCAAGAAATATATTTTGGCTAATAATTATAACTAAAGCTAAAAATTATAGTTTATGTAAAGATATATAAAATAATCATCTATTTAATTTGAAGTTAATTACTTACCCTTGTAACATTATTTAGTGTAATTGTCCATTCACTTATAGATAAAATCAGAAATAAAATACAATTTATCAACCAATATGTAGAATACATTTTTGATTTATTATTTAGTATAAAATTACTTACTAATTGTTTTATTTTTAATTTTCAGATTTTTTTATATTATGGCATTTGTTATACGGCGATTTTATTCATCAGTTATTGAAAAAACTGTTATGATATCTCGATCAAAAGATGTGTTTGAAAATCTTGCATTAGAACACTGGTACTACCGTCATTTAGATTTCACTAACAAACCCATGTTGTTATTGTGGATGAATGATAATTGTGTTGTTATTGGACGACATCAAAATCCCTGGCTCGAAGTAAATTTCGACCAGGCCAACAATGTGCATGTAGCAAGAAGGAATAGTGGTGGTGGCACCGTATTTCACGATAACGGTAATCTTAATATGACATTTTTTACACACCGAGATGTATACAACAGGAAAAAAAATTTAGAACTGATTGTTGAAACATTAAAAAGTGAATGGAATATTTTGACAGAAATCAATAAACGAGAAGATATTGTAATAGATAATAATTACAAAGTTAAGGATCTAAATATTAATTAGTTTTACCATGGAATGAAAATGTTATTATTCAATGGCTGTATTCTATTTAGAAATATAATTTTTATATATATATATATAGATATCTGGCACAGCATCCAAATTGGGTAGACCTAATGCATATCATCATTGTACATTATTGGTGAATTGTAATAGAGAATTAATGTCCGCATTGTTAAGAAAACACGAAGTAAGTAATTGTATGATAAAAAATTATTCAATATTATTGTATTGAAATCATTGGAAATGTGTTTTAGAAAAATATTGAAACCAATGCTACTGTTAGTGTATCATCAGCTGTATTGAATTTGACACAAATTAATAATAAAGTTTCAATTAATAGATTAATGACTGCTATTGGTTTACAATACTTAAAAACAGTAGATGGCAAAATCACAAAAACTTTAGGATTTAATTATGTAACACCAAATGAACATACATTCCCTGGTATATTGTTTTTTCTTTGTATTGTATTTTTTAAAAAAATTGTTACAGTGATGAATTTTTTATTATAATCTTATATTTAAAATAAATTTGAATAGTTTATTGATATTATCATTATCTTAAACAGGATTTAATGAAATTAAAAAAGAAATGGAAAGCTGGGAATGGCGGTATGGACGAACGCCCAAATTTAACATAACCATAAAATCAAATGAGCAATCTGTTCTTTTGTCTGTAAAAAATGGCATTATTGAAAATGTTTCAACAACTTGTAATGTAAGTTTAAATAACTTGTTTAGTAAAAAATTCAGTATGAATATTGTGGAAGACATTAAAAAGTGTTTAAAAACAATTGAAGTGTAACTTTGTTTCTTTTAAATTATATAAGTTATTGTAGTCAAATAAGTTTAGTGTCAATTTATATTTTTGTAAAATTGTGTATGAATTATATTTGTATAGTAATGAACATTTTAAGAGTTCACAAAGAAAACAAACTTCTTTTATAATTGGTAGTACATTTTAGTGTGGAATCCGTACAATCAAATGAAACAAAACTTTAAATAAAATCATATTTTATATAATATTATAAATGTTGTATACAATGTACACTTAATGTGTTTTGACTTTATTAATAACCAATAAGAATCTAAATTGTCTTTTTTTACTAATAAAATTAAGTAAAATATCTACTCTTTCACATGGTTAATTTAATAAAATATTTCCAGTTTACACTTTACCACAATGTTATAAAATATAATGATTTATTTTCTATTTAGAATTAGTATGCAATATTTTATTTTGTGCTACTAAAATAATAATACAAAAAAAATAATATTTCTAAGAAATATTTTCATTGGGAAGAATACCAATAGGGCAATTAATATCAAACAAGTGCACATATTTTATTTATAATATGTATATTATAATATATCGTTATACTTTGAGATATACATTATTTTATTTAATAGATACAAATATCGTAACAAGAATACATGAATATTTATTTTTTCTACATCTAAGTATCTTAATGCTATTATATTAGGTTGGTAATGTATATTATAATTATTATATTATATATTTCATAAATAGTAATAATATATAGGCCTATTTTTCTAAGCCGTGATTATAATAATAATATATATTATATATATGATCAAAGGCTAAAATCACATTCTATGGTATGAAGTTGTTGCTTTACAGAGAGCGTGCATAAATAATACATTAACAGCTTAATAACTAGGATATTATATTGTACAATACATAATAATATTTGATCAGTCAATCCAAATAATAATTATAAAAATAAAATAAACAGTAAAACTCGACTAGTAGTCTATTGTTCATTTAAAAATGTGCAAGTTTATTATTTACCCTGCACTGAATTACCTTGCATTAGGAATGAAAATATAAAAGTGAGAAACATTGATTTTGATTGACTGTATCCAACACCACTATAATGACCGACTATCAAATTAGGAACTTTTCTGCTAGGAAAACGAATACTGAACAATTTGAACATAATGTACTCATATATATTGTTATTGAATGATTAAGTTCCGAAATTTCCAAGTATGAATTTACTATTTATATTTATTTTTTATTTTTTTTTTTTATGTGTTGTTCGGCATGCTAGTAGAGTGTTTGGATACTAAAAATGTATAATAATAATAATAATAATAAAGAATATACTTGTTTAATACTTTAACTTGTTTTTATCGGAAATATTGTTTTTTCTACAAGTTTGTCATTTTATGGTTCTACGAGATACATTTTTCATTCCTTTGAATTGTACTGCGTCATTCACTTCTTGCGAAATATCATTTAAAATTACTTTATCCTTTTTTATCGTCTTGTCATTGCGCTTAATCAAAATACTCATCATTACTAATGAAACTATCAATAAAATGGCACAAAAACTCATAAGAGGTAGCCATTTAGTTTGCGTTTCGTTTTCAATTTCTGATATAAGTGGCATTGACTGGTATTCGTGAATTTCTCTTACGACTCTGGTCTGTCTTGAATTGCCACGTGGACAGTTCGCCTCACGAACATACCTAGCCCATGTACGCGGTACAGGTACAGTAAGTTCTCGTCCTGGTCTTGGTTTCACTAGCTTGACAGGCGTACTCTTAGGGTCGAAATTACACACTAAACTTTTCGTTTTCTTATTGTTCATGTTGGAAGCCATTGATTTCGTAGAACTGACTAAAATTCCTATATTTCCTTTTTCGCTAGCCCATTCCCACATTCTTACAACATAACAATCGCATTTCCAAGGATTACCTATTAATTTCAATGACATGAGTTGATAATTATTACTGAATTTATCAGGTGTAACAGTTGTTATATTATTAAAACTCAAGTCTAATTGTTCGAGTTCGGCTAAGGATTCTAAAAACTTTAAGAAGCTGTCTTTGTCGTTCTTTAATTTATTATCATTTAACAACAATCTACTAATATTGGGCGTTGTTGTGAAAGCATCATCGGGTAAATAACTCAAATTACATTTACTCAAGTCTAAATTCTTTAAGCCAGATAATTGAGGGGGCAATATCGGGCCTTGTTCAGGAACTTGCAGTGGATTTCCTGACAGCCTCAACTCTTCCAAGTCTGGGTATGTAAAGTTATCATAAAATACTGTATCATTCAAACGGCTCAGTCCACAGTTATTTAATTCCAATACTTCTAAGCGCGTAAGATTTTGGAACAGACCCGATTCGAGACTTTTAAGTTTATTACCGGACAAAATTAGTGTTTTTAAAGCTGACATTTTGAAGAAAGTTGTTCTTGATATTCTTTGTAAATTACTATAGCCCATATCTAAATGTTCCAATGATTCCAAGGGAGATAAGAGCGCCGTAAAGGCATTGTTTAACGGATTTCTTGAAATATCTAACTCTTGTAAGCTAGTAAATTTATGGAAAGTATTAGCTGGTAAACGTGTTAATCCACAATCTCTCAATGACAGTTTCACTAATTTTAATAAAGGCGAAAGTGCCACTGCTAAGTCATTAGCGGACAAATGATTTCCAGATAGTATGAGCGTACGCAATTTTGTAGCGTTCGCGAACGCATCTTCGGATAAAGGTCCTTTCAAATGACAGTAACTGAGGTCAAGAAAGTCCAAGTGAACTAAATTATGCCCTAAAGTAGTAGCCACGTCAAGATCAGATAATTCGTTTTCGGCCAACACCAAACTCCGTAGCCAAGTATTATTGAAAAATACATTTTCCGGTAAATTTGATACGCCAGATTGCCTCAATTCAAGATGTTCAAGTCTACCTAAATTACCCAATATTAAGATCCAATCTATATGACTTTTGAGACTGTTTCCAGCCAATTCTAATATCGTCAGATGTCCAAGACTACTAAACGCTACGCTTGATATATGTGTAAGATTACAGTTGTTAAGAATTAGATGTTTTAAACTAGTAAGTGGATCAAATATGCCAGGTTCAATGATATGTAGAGGATTTCCAGAAAGGTCAAGTTTATCCAGACCACTGATATTGGCGAAAAATTGAGGCGAAAGTTTTGATAGATGATTATCGGCTAGATAAAGATACAGCAATGATTTGGAATATAAAAATGGGCCGTCAACTTGTTCCAATGGGTTTCCTTGCAATTCTAAAGTAATCAATCCAGCGCTATCCCTGTAACACATATAATTGTTCCTGATTAGTTTTAAAATATTTATTACGTTTATAGGACAATCACGACGATTGTGATTATTACAATTATTTTTATTAATTATGCTTCCTATTTATTTTACAGAATTAAATATTAAAGTTATTTATTTGCATCATTTTTATTTTTTAGGATTTTCTTGGATATTTGTATTGTAACAAATCGATGTAATTAAACATTTTTTCAAGTATCTAATTAATGTATAATATTACTCATTATACACAAAATGATCAAACAACAGTCGTTAAATAATATAATATAGGTACATTTAATTTTAATTGTTTGGAAAATATGTTATTGATCATCATGAGTTAACTAAATCTGTTTTTATTGTATTTTTTTTGTTTTAGATGGAATTAATTTTAATTTAATAATATTATGTTCTTTTTATACTGTCGTCGTCCAAACGGTTTTTATAGACGTCATCACTTAGGAATAAAATCGACCTTGATCGGGCAAAAATGGAAACTGTGACTCAATTTGTTTAATTTAAATGATACAACTATAGTTAAAAGCCGTAAAAAAGACCTTGTATGGACTTGGTATAAAATCCTCTATAAACCGAGTCGTGGCAAAGTTAACAATAGAGAGATATCTGAATTATTGACTTACACAAATGCTTCGGGATCAACGTAATTGATTAAATTGTTTGATAAATCGATATCTAACAAGTAATGGAGTCCGGCGAATGTTGATTTTTTAATTTTGGTTAAAATGTTTTCGGACAACTGCAACGTTCTGAGTTTGATTTCTGACGGGAATGGTTCGATGTCTTTTAGCAGATTCCCATTCATGTTAAGCACGTAGACATTTGGGTCAAGTCCTTCGTACGGCATAGACGTGAAGTTTGATTCCGAACAGTCCGTCACCCAGTTAATTCTGAAGAGATGACAGTCGCAATCATCCGGACAGTCGAACTGTTCGGATAGAATGGCGTTCACATTGCACACGCAAGCCAATAGTGTCGCCAACACTATAACGGATATGCTACGTGTTGCCATGTCGTGACCAATTTCTCAAATATAACTCTAGAAAAAAAAAAAATACTCTGTTATTATTTTAATATTCAAATAAAGTTTAATCCGATTTCGTAATAGTTTTGGAATTAAAAGTATATAAGAGTAGGAAAATGAACCTTATCGAATTGTAAAAATTATCTATAATAATTAAGTATTCGATATTTTCAGTCTGTCGTCAGTAGTTAATTCGTTTTGTGTCAAGGCACTAACACCATCGCCAAGGACTTGGCTCAAGTCTCAAAACTAGTAAAAATTCATCGTTTGTATTTATGTACGCTCTCCAAATATTTTACAAGGCGCATCATTATTCCATTATATTATAGCAATTGAACGTGCACCAGGCACGTCCTGCCATAATACGAGACGGACGACAGAATTATTGATTTAATTTAATTAAGTCTGGCACGCCCTATGCTAACTACTGTTGTCAGACACTACATATATTAACAAAATGTAAAATTTATATTTAAGAACCTACATGAATCGCTAAATGTAGAATAGGTACAAGTTAACATTTTTCAAGCAAGACAAAAAAACTCTTTAAACGCCTAGAGTTTTATAATATTTCAGATGATGTTACTGATAACATTAGTTATACATGCAATTTGTTTTTCAACTGTTTTCAGAGATATTTTTGTATTTTTGAATAATGTTTAAAATTTGAATATAGGTATAATACCTAATAATTATTAAGCATAATTATTATGCTCTTTCTGCATTTATAGCGACGCATATATAATATTGTCTGGCTAAGATTAAGTATAATGACGTGGTTTTTGCACAATAATAATTAACCATACTATAAATGTAAATAACATTTTCTCCCCTTCGAAATATTCAAAATTGTTGAGCAATTTATTATTGTAGCTATAATAATTTTATTATTGTCATCTCCCGATTACCTAATGCGATGTCCTACAATAATAATATAGACAATGGAACATTTTTTTTTTTTTTTGCTAACAATGAATTGATGTTCTTGTTCCTATAAATTCACCAAAAAATATCCTTTCTATGCCGTTATAATAATATTATATTACCCGTCACTAATCGGTCGAGACAACATAATATTGAATATTGTTGATGGGATGAAATTTAATGAAAATAAAAACGATTGTTGGTATTATACTATCAAAAGTGAAAAAAAAAATAACGTTCCGATTAATTTTCAGTAATTAAATGTATAATAAAAATATAAAACAAAATATACCTATTCTGCAGTTTATAGACCGGATCAAAATAGTGAACGGTCAGTCATATATTGATTTAGCCTATTATCGTATTTTGTGGTATTCCTATAGTTGATTGATATCTCTCAGAACTTTGATGAAACATTGTCTTGATGGATAATAATAAAATTATAAAAACAATATAATATATGAACGTGCACTGCGGAGAGTCCACATATTATTATTATAACAGTCACTTTAATAACGTGTCCTTGAGGTACCCCCTTTCCATCTCGCGTTTCTAATTGATTAATTAACGACGTGTGTGCGTGTGTGTGTACAACGGTAAATTGCATGATTTATAAGAGAAATTAAAATATATTATAAGTAACTATACCTACTTCGTATACCTATGATATAAAACGTAGAAGACAAAAAAAAAAATCATTTGCTACAACCTATATATATATAAAGTGAAAGCGATAAAGTCCCTGACAGTTTTGTACGAAGAACTGTTGTCATCGAAGAAAACATTACCATCGTCTCGCCGAATTAAAATAATTTAACATCATTAGTAGGTACCCTAACATACCTAGTAGTTTTTTTTTTGATATAGTATTATATTTAGGTACCTACCCAATGAAAAAAAAAAAAGGTCAATACTGTTGATGATTGTGCCACTGTTTTATGAGGAAAGTTAGAAAGGAGGGTATGTAAAGTAATTTAATTTACATCTGTATTCAGTGTCGTACCTAGTATTTTTCAATGGAGGCGGAGCTAAAAACATATTAAATTCATATATTATGTTAATTCAAGCTAAATATATCTACATTTATTATAAAAAGCCTTTCTCTTGAGGTTATTTTGCAAAATACATAGGTAATTGTGTAGTTCAATTTTTTAATTTTTATAGTTGAGTAATTAGTGCACTCAGCGAGATGGACCGACCCGTTGTCCCAGAGATTATGGCAGCCCCGGTTAGGTTAACTCGTGTCAATTTTATTAATTTGTAATCAACCACAAAATAAATTACAATTATTCGTGGTTTTTTACAATTTTTATCATTAACGTAAAATATATTATGAGCTTTGGGAGCTATAGTCCGCACAGAAACTTTTTAGCTCCCTTCAATCACTACTGTATCTTACTGTAATTTAAATCGTTATGTTAAACTGTTATGATTTTATCTGAAAAACGTTAAGTAAAAAAATATTAACATACCTATAATTAAATATTTTATTTCTAGTTTAAAAACGTATCTAGACAGAATCAATACTAGTGCCTATAATAAGTTCTAACTGAGGATGAATGTTCTGATTTAAATAATGCCTATAGATACCGAAAAATTAAATTTCGATTATTGGAAATTAAATATATGTTTTAAAATAGATTGAGTAATTAATGCCATGAAAAATAAGTTCTCTGCAGAAAGTTTAAAAGTCAATTTGAGACGAAGACATTCGATAAAATAAAAATTTAATGAAAGTATTGAGTTTTCTCAATAAGTAAGAGGTACCTATCTAAGAATTTCAAAATTATAATGGGATTTAAAATACAATTTGAATACAACTTTTTTAATTTAATTTTAATTTTCTAGAAATACTGAACATAAGTTTAGATTACCTAAAGGCTTCAGTCGTTTCAATGTTAGCCATAAAAAGTATATTGAATAAAGAATGCTTTGAAATTAAAGACATTATCATACCTATTATAGACAATATTTGTATAAACTTATCCAAGAGGCATTGACAATACCTATAAGTTCTGCGTCATGTGAATCTTCATTTAAGAATGTTATGAGGTGAATAGATAATTGGATTAGAAATACAATGATAAGTTCACAATTGGTCAATACATAAAAAATTCACTAATATTGAAAAAGATCCAGAAAATGTATTTAATATTCTTGCAGAAAAGATCAGACGTTTAATATTTTAACTGTTTTAATGCATTACAAAATACGATTTTAGGTAAGAATGAGTTTTAATTCAAATTATTTTACTAGAAAATTATCCCTTTACTATGATTTTAGTTAAAAATTAGTATTTATAAAAAAAAAAATGTTTAGAACTGTAGCAGATAGTTATACCAAGCTGGATAATGAAAATATAATGTACATAAAGATTATTTACGGTGTAGTGCTTAACTTTTTGTTATACCATAAAGTACAACTTGTGATAAACTAAGTTTCAATTTGTTTAACATTTATATGAACTTACAAAATTGTATCTACATAAAACCAAATAAGTTTTCGAGAATTTTAAACAGCTATAAATAATTAAAAAATCCCACAATATTTAAAAAGTTTTACTTCGTCTAGAAAAGAAAATTTGATATAAGTAAAAATTTAAAAGTGTTTTTAGTAAAATGTCAAATCTCTACAATTATTCTACGCAAAATTAGAACGGAAATACAAAATCGAAAATAAAATTAATCTTATTCTTGTTCATTTGATGTTTTGCTCACATTATTAAAAAATGTTCAAGGAAAAAAATGACTTCCACAATACAACTAACCAAAATTTGCTATCAGACACTATAAATGAATTTGATAACTATAGCAAGTTTTCTAGTCCAAAGCTCTTAGGAAAACGTATCTATATTATTATTAATACAAAATATGCAAAAGTATTTACAAATGTATAAACATAATCACCAGATCACCGTCCCTCAACCTAAATACGGGAAGCGGATCATAGTCTTTTGAGATAATAAACTTTATGTCCTCTGCGTGGAATGAATATTGAATAATGTTTTAAAAACAAGTATTCACAGTTGAATAGCTTACATTACTATTTTGTGAAAAAACTGGGTACATCGCTGTTTTTATGAAACAATATACCATTGCTAACGAAAAACGATTCTGAGCAGGGTATTATTAGTCGCTTTTTTTTCCTTGTTGCCAAGATAATCCAGATACTAACAAAAATTGTACAACTAATTCATTAAGAAAACTATAAGAAAAATCAAAAAACAAACCTTAACACACCAATTACGTAGATCAAAAATGTTACAAGAAAGTTTCTATAAAGTTTTCGATCGGGCAAGATTTCTGGTGGAAAAGTGCAGTTTGACAGAAAAATGAAAAATATAGGAAACCAATACATTACTCGCTTAGCTTAGAATTTAAAAACTGTGCATGTTATACGACGGGATGAGGGACATAGTGATTTTACTAGTGACACACTATACTTCAAACACCTATATATTATTATCATTATATTGTATTTACCTATGTAACGAACTGTATTAACCCTCATCTACTGTTTTAGACTTAACTAACGGTTAACTTAGTGAAATTGCGTCACTTATTAGAACATAAATTTTGACGTTTAGGTTGAAATTAGAGTTTTAAACACAAATAACAAAATTTGAAACGGAGAATATTTTGAAGATTAAACGTAGTAAGTAGATTTTTTTTATTCAACGTTTTGTATAAAAAGTTACAGTTATTAAAAAACACTAATATGAAAATACGGATTACAACTCTTGAAAATTGTCGCCCCTTAACATTTTATTATTTGTGTTTCAAAATCCGATTTCAACCTAAACGCCCCGATTTACACTCTTAACGAAATTTTGCTACATTATGTTGTCCGATGGTAGACGCAAGTGTGCCATCTTCTTAATTATTCCATCGATTTTTATGATTTTTTTTATTTCTAAAAAATATTACGCAGCTTACAATATACTATATTAATATTTAACACGGTTATATTATTTATATAATACTGCAATGATATCCTACCTACCTATATCTGATGTTTGACAACATATTTTCGAGTTGTATTATTATAACATTATGTTAACCATATAGGTTATAATGATAATAATGGTTACATAAACGATAATGACGGCATAATGACTCGGTAAACACATCGCGACAACATAAAATGCAATATTATTTAAGACGCTGGAGTAAATAATTAATTATTTTATTAGTGGGTATAGATAACGTAAAACCAAGGCTTTATATTATGTTTAAAACCATTGTTTTTATCCATCTATATGCGTGTATAGGAATATATGTGCCTGTGCGATACAATTATTTGATAATAAAACGCATTTCTTTAATAAGAATATTATGTTGTAAAATGAAAGAAAAAAAAAAATAAACACAATCGAGATTAAATTACAAAAAAAAAAAATATTACTTATCGTATTTATTACGAGATAATTGTCAGTATAATATCGTAGGGTCCCGTGATGGGACGCGAATATAGAGAGCATTAATAATTAAATAAGCATAATATTTAATTCTGCGTAAAATATCGATAAAAAAAAAACTGTTTTCCATGACTTTCCGTAATAAATACATGCAGGGTGTGTATGCGAGATTTGACAATCTCCTATTATCATGCTATCAAATTTACGATGGCGTGTTTCAACTTTTCGAATAATGTAAATTTACCAGTAGTTTTACACACCCAAATTATTTTCATACTACGTACTTGCGCATTTTCGTTTACAACAAATTCGAAATAATACTATTCGATAGGTACCTTACCAATAATGTAGTTAAATTACCGCGTCTTCATTTTGACACACGAAAAACCGGGTTAACCCGATTTCAAAATTAATAAATTATTGAAAAATACTACTCTTAAATGTTTGCACGGGTTTTAACGTGTTTACGCGGGTATTGTAGTAAAATGTCAAGTTGTTTACTACTAAAGTCGATGTAAATATTCGACTACTACGATATGATAACGTACACTTGGTTATATTTTTGTTTTGTTTTTAAACATCTCCACAGTAGTTGTTGAATACGCTGCTGTTAATAATAATTCGTGTCGTCGAATAAAATCGATCGATTTAAATATAAATCCGACCTGTAAGAATATTAGGCGCGAGCTTTCGATGTTTTTCTGTTTTGCGTAAAACAAAGTGTTGGTTACGTTGGTCGCGAACTCGGTCCAAGGAAACCGTTCGGTTTTAAACAAATTAATACGACCAGTACAGTTTATTTTACGTGGTATATGAAATTTGTGTATAATAATATATCCATTACACGTGGTAATTTATGCACTTATTTTTCGAAATCAAATCGATTGTCGCCGTCGTCGTATTGTATTTAGGTAGCTACGTGGGTACGGTAGCTGTTAATAGGATGAGAAAAAAAAAATGCATCCTATATAAGAGTTCACGGGCTGTGAATATACATACACATTTTTTTGTTTTTTTTTTTTTTTTTGTAACTTGTTATTGTAGTCCGATCTCGTGGACCTTGGCGAAATTAAATTACATCCGTTTGAAATAATAATAATATTAACAAAAAAAAAACTCGCGCGCGCAACAAGTATATTATATTATAAGTACACTGCAATGTTATACGCGCGCGCACACACGTACACCTATTCGTATAAAACGCACACACACAGTGATTATTGTTTAATTTTTTTTTTATTTTCTTGACGTTTTATAGTCGGGCGGCCGAATTAATTCATAATACCCACCCACCGACGACATTAATTGTACCCGGTAGGTAGGCACCTACACCGGCTTCATTACCCGCGATCGAAACACGCGTATTGAAATAATCACGATGCCAACATTTACACGCCGCGGGCGTTATCGTGAACAAAAACGCCGGCGTAAGGGGGGTAAAAAACTGCGGCGGTGTTTGTACCGTTATCGTTTGTTTATTGCGTTTGCGTTCGTATTTCCGTAGATACTTTCGGCCCTTATGCGCCGCCATTTTTAATTCGTACGCGCGAACAAAACGCGCTGGAGCGGGCGTACGAGTATACTATCGTAATGCAATAACCCGGTGTAAAACGGTTCAATCGCGTTCGGTGCATACGCGTCCACGTCCCCCACACATCGGAGTGGCGCGAAAACAATTTTTCGTTTACGCGGGAGAAAATCGACGACTTTCCCCCCCCCGCCCGCCACCCTCTCCCCCAACCCCGTTGACGTTCGGGGACAGGTGACGGCGGCGGCGGTCGATTGCGTCAGTATACCGCGGCCGGCGTGCGAATTCCCTCGGATGGAAAAAAAAAAACAAAAATACGAAAATACGACTAACGCGTAAGAGACAGAAAAAAAAAAAAAAAAAAACATTTTCGATTTCACGTGGATCAACGTCGCGGCGGCACGTATGCCCAATTGTTTTTTTATGGCCAATTAAATCGGACGAGGTCACCGTACCGCACTGGCTGGCTATGGAGGTAGGTATAATGTACACACAACCGCAGCAGCAATATTATTATACGCGGCGAATATTGTGACGATGATAATAATAATAATAATATCTGTTTTCGTACCTATACCGCCGACGACGCGCGACGTGCGATTATTGGCAAAACATTTCGAAAACGTTTTTCGCGATAATATTATTGTTACGGGTAATGTGTTTTCGGAGAAAAACAAAACAACGACGCGGATAAATCGTCGAAACCAAACCGAAGAATTAATGTCCCGTCCGACTGTACCGCGAAAACGGCGGCCGAGAACGTTACGTGCAGAAATGCACGCCCTTTTTTTTTTTCTCGTTTTTGTCGGGAACCGCTCGAAATCCGCAAAGAAAATCCCCCCCCCCACCCCACTCGGTAACGTGCCGCCGCGTGATATCGTTTCGTTTTGAAATTCCCGTTTTCCGATCGAATTCGGCCGACGACGCGCCAAGTCGAGAAAATCGCCGCGTCGACCGACAATTGTTATGGGCAGCGTACCAAACGTAAACCGTCGTAAATATGACAACGTCGGGGAGGGGGGGGGGGATCGGGAGAAATAAATAACGAATCGAACGTTCCCGGTCGCAATGCAGCCAGCCAGTCGTCCCGACTGCGGTGGTGACACGCCGTGGCCGCGGGCCGCCGGGCGACTCCGCCGACGGTATTTCGCGCTCGGTTTTCGTTCGTTCTCCCCCGCGGCGCGTTTGACCTCTCGCCGCGGCAGGTGCGCTCCGTCGACGCGCACGCCGGCAACACGCGTGATAACGTCTAAAAAACCCATAGGTGGTTGGTTGTGTTGCACCCGCGGTGTTGTCAACCGAGTGGCGACACACATTTTCGTTGCGTTTTTTTTTTTTCCCCGTTTTTACACGCGCACAACACACGATATTATCGCGTACGGAACGTGTTATTTTTATTTATTACTATTATTATTATTATTTTTTTTTTTTTTTTTTTTTTTTACTACGTTTTTTGCCACCGCGTATGCGATTGCGACACCGCCGCACGTCAATAATAACATAATAATCGGCATAATATTACGTGTCAAGCGGTAACGTAGTCCCGCAGCACGGTTTAATATCGCGTTAAACGGAGTTCGTTTATTTTTTTTTTTCCTTTTTAATATTATTCTACGGACGGCCGCGGCGCCAGAGACCGGTCTACAATGTTGTTAAATACGAATGAAAAGACGAAACCCTTCCCCCCCGCCCCCATCGCGACTCGAAACGTTTGGAATTTACTGGAAAGAGACCGCAATACCGTATGTGTGTGTGTGTGTATAAGCGCAGGCCGGAAAATGTCAAGGGCTTTTGAAAAAAACGTTCGTGGTACCTATCGATTTTTTATTCAATTTGGTTTCGCCTACCGTCCGCGTTTTCAACGGAGCGGCGGGGTGGCCGGCCGCTATTCCGCCCCCTCGGCGCGTACTTGTAATATTATTGTACCGGTATCAGCCGTTTATTATTGGTACGAGGTTAAGTCAGGTTAGTAAAATCGAAAAATCAAACGGCGGTACCCGATCGTATAATAATAACAATAATAATAGAAATAATACATTTCGGTACCTACGTGTTACAATAATTACCGTAGTGAATGGTAATAAGTTACGATATTAATTTGTTTCAGACTTACCCCAGTACGGTGCGCACGGTTCGGCTGTTCGAGTTTCGAAAATCCGTCGGCTACGGAGTGGTTATCGGCGGGAGACCGGTACGGGAGGGTGAGGCGAGAAAACCGCAAGAGCGATGAAAAGCGATTACGGGTGTTTTTGTTTATGGTTTTGTAAAAATCCCAGACGGGGGGGGACGGGGGTGGGTGGGTACTCGAACGAGACGTTCGCACCCGAGTGGTGCCGGTGATGCTGGCTGTCTGGTTGTCCGCCGCTGCTTCTGCTGCTGCTGCTGCTGCTGCTACTGTCGCTGCGACGACGCGTTACTCCGGACAGGGACACGCTATACAACTGGTGGCTGGAAAATGATTTGCTCATTGAACGGCGGAACAAGTAGTAAACCGGCGGCGGCGGTGGTGGGGGACGGACGACGCGCGCGCGTGCCCGACTACTATCCTCCCCTCCAACCCTCCTCCCCGCCGTTTGACCGATGTCGCTGCGGCGGCGGCGGCGGCGGCGGCTCGCAGCGCGGGATTTTCGCAATGTTTCGCGCGGTGAGTCACGTAACGCGTACGCGCCTGTTAAATTATAATATTTTTTCTCCGTTTCATTATTTATTTATTTATTTATTATTTATTAATCGCGCGGGTACGGCACGGCTGCCGGGGAAAACGTCGTCGTCTCCATTTACGTCAATCTAGCAGACGCGCGCGGCGGCGAAAAGGGACGGGGGGGGGGAGGACGCGTCCTCTACCGTAAGGAGGACGACGCGATTATATTATTACCGTTGCACACAGCCGCGTCCGTCTCGATTAAACACACTGCACATCTGTAGCGAAATCTTTGAGTACAATACGCGTTCGAAAGGGACCCGTACACCGACATTTTCGCTGTCTGTCTCGCGTTTAATATCGTGTATGACAACAAAAGCGTTCCGCCGTACTTACTCGCGTGACTCACCGGTTGAGTTTATTAATCGCACATTCCTCTACGGCTGGACCGCGTGATATTTTTCTTTGTTGTTGAGACTACACCTAAATTCAACTTGTTTAAAGTTCGACTTCCCGAAGGAGAAAAAAAAATATACTACATTAAACGCGATTTTTTTTTTTTTTTTTGTACACAAAGTGCTACTTATAATCATAGTGATCAGACGTAGGTCTCTTTTTCGTAGGACAGTACAATTTTTCGATGCACCGTCCTGTGTCCTCAACAATAGTGTTAAGTACATGAAAATGTACTCTTGTTTTTCGAAAATTATAAATAATAAATAAATAAATAAATATAAATATGTAGGAAACATATATTAATAAAGTTTTGTATTTATTTATTTAAATGTTAACCTTTAAAATTTAATTTAAATATGTGCACTTTAGTTATATATGCGTTCTTTAAGTTGACTTAAAATGACTTAAATTTCAAAGCATTTTTATCATAAAGAAACAAACCAAATGAGTTGACATTATGACTTCAAATAATTAGTTTTTTATAATTGATAATAAAATAGTAAAAAAAAAAATAGTAATAGAGTAATTAGATAAAAACAAAATGTATGTAGATGGAGATAAGTTATGGGCAAAATAGATAGAATACATACTAATATGTCTATGGTAGAATAGTACACAATACACAATGGCCAATTTTTTCAAGGGGGAGGTTTACAACGGAGGACCTAAATTGTAAAATGTACTTTTTTGGATTTTTATATCTGCAGGTCATCATACTTATAATGAACTTCCTGTAGAATTGTCAAGTATTTCTGTTTGGTCTAGCAATTTTGTCCACAGAGTACTTATCGAATAAAAACTTGCAAAATTAAAATGTCTATGAATAGCTCACAAATGACACAAATGTTTTGAAAATTTGACCACGTCTAGAAAATTCAAATGTGTATTGTATTGTGTAATTATGTTTTCTGTCTAAATTTCAAGTGTTTAGGCATATTTTTAACTGAAACACAACAAAATTTAAAATAATAAAATAATTATTTTCGTATATTTTCCAGTTCTTTCTACCTTTTTTTTCGGTTTTGCTCAATTATTAATAAAACTACAGGGAAAATAAAAAACAACTGTTTTGTTCACCAATTAGATTAAAAATTTAACAAATAAGGTCTTTTGACATTTTTCAATTGGAGAAATATTCCTGATAGAAAACATAATTCGTAATTAAAATAAAGGAATCGTGACACCGTAAATTGATCAGTTTTCATTATTCGTTTTTTTTTCACTTATTATGAAAACTAATACAAAAAAACGATTTTCTTCGTAAGCAACTAGATCTAGGGCCACATAAAGTATATAAAAACTCTTTTTTTTGTATAATATGCAATCAGGATCTTTTGCGCGAAGCTTAACGAGTGAGTCGCAACCGTGGAAATGCGGAATGCCTTTGTTTGTCAGACAGAGAAAATCGCAGCGTTTAGGTTAAAATAATTATTACCATAGAGTTTAAACACGGACGTACAAGCGTGCAACGTTTAAAGATAAGCGAATATTTTCAAACAAAAAAAATTCCCATTCAGGTCGTAGCACTATATCATATACAACCGTGTTATGTTTTTGTTTGACAATGTTTTTGAAAAAAAAAACCCCCACGAGGTGCTTCTTTAAATTTTGTTTTCTGTGTGGTTTAAACACCAGTACATCGCTAACGTGAATATATTCTTACAATACGTATTTTCATGTATATATATATATATATGTATAAATTAGATAACGGTCAATCTAACGATGTGGATATTATAATGAATGCCGGGATGTCTGTTGCAGGGTCCGTCTCGGACAAGGTCAGAGATAAATGATTACCTACTTAAAGTATTCCGTTGTAGACGAACTCCGCGCGACGATTCTCTGCTACGACGGAGAAACGTCTGAAACCTAGAGAATTTATCGCGACTCATGACGGTGGATTTATCGGGGGTTGAATCTTACCTAAGTGTAAATATTATATTTTATTTACCTAGGTACTACGCAACAGAAATTCGTTGGAATTCTGTAAATGTTGCACCCGAAACGAAAATGATATAATTTATTGCCGATGTTTGGGAAGTTATACATTCAATTCATATCGGCCATATTTTTAAATACTTTTTAATAACCGTTTCGTGCTTATGATGTATATGTGGTTTATTTTTATATTTCATTGATTAGGTAAGTAATATATTTTTGAACGGAAGTTAATGTTTATCGGTAATCGGTACATGTGATTTTGAGTTTGTTTCCCCAGTTTCCCGTCCATTGAGAAATCCCGCAGGCTATATCACTGCTTTAAAAATATTAAATATTATTGAATATTTTGGTATTTTTAACGATTCTGTGAGCAGCATAGAGATTGTTTCAAATCTATAGAGCAATAGAATAGTACAAAAAACAGTTCTTTATTGAGTTATTTTATATAGAACAAAAACGGTTCTTTTGTGACCGTATTTTCTTCTAAATAATGATTATATTTAATGTATAGGAACGCCCGCAGAGAATTACCTCAGTAAGTGCAAAACACTTTATGTGTCATTATAGACCATCCATTCATAATTATTTCTGCGTCCGTAATAATATGCGACAGTTTCTCAGAATTTTGGCCATTACCATAGAAATAAATTAACAAAGAAAGAATATTTTTATATTTTATTATTTTTTCTAATAAATCGTATACACAAACCATTGTAGTCCAAATTATTAAAAAAAAATATTTTCTCAGTTGGTGCATTTTTACCCTCTGACAGTCACCTGCGGGCGTCCCTGACAATTGCTGACAGTTGTTCACATTTGTGAACAATAGGCACGAAGGAAATTTTATGAAAAAAAAAAATCTGTATTGTGACGAGTCAATTTTAAAATATTTTGGTATTCGGCGTCGTGCACTTTTCTTTTCCGCTCTTTACCTTTTAGAATCCACTCAAATTTTGTAATTGCTAACTTATTCAGTTTTGAGACTGATTTTCGGTTTAATTTCTGAACTAATGATGAATAATAGGTACGTTATAAAGTTATATTTCACGTAATTTTATGGGTATGGGTTTTACATAATAAACACATATAATGTGCATTATATATTTTTCTTAATATTCCTAAAATAATTTGTTTAATATTGTTCCTATTTTCTCGTTTTTTCACATTTTCCTATGTTTTCTCCAGCTTTTCCAATTTATAATAAAAATAGCTGGGAAAATCAAAAAATTGATCTTAAATGGCTTTAAAATTAATTAAAATTTTTACATATAAATGAAAAAATAAAGATGTTTATAATAAAAGAAATGTCGAAAAGCAATTAAAAAAAATATCCACTCATTTAATTTTTACTAATAAGTAATTATTTTTAAAATAAAATATAATTATGCATATTTGTTCTTTTATAATAGTATGACTATGTAAACATTTTTTAATTTTAGTATTTTTCCTCTTAAAATATTATCGAGTCGAAATTATAATAAAAAAAAAAAATACAATTAAAAGTTCTTTGTGTTGTTTGTTCTTTATGTAATATAATGTATGAGTCACACTGTAGTATCAAAATAAAGCTAAATAAACATAATAATATTTGAAAAACGGTTCACCTTATAAATCTTTTGTAACCAAATAATTTATATTTCTTAACATATTTATGTCTAATAATAGTTCATTTTAAATAATCTCTCTTATTAAAATAAATTGTTTCTATGTAAAATGACCAATTTGTATAATTTTTTCGCTATACGTTCCTTCATATTCATATTAAGTCGCGTTTTACATTTTTACTTTGTGATTTACCTGACGATGAATTTTTAATTCGAAACCGGTCGTACAGTACACAATTTATATTACTCCAGGTGACGCATTCATTAATTAATAACTTTATTTATTTATTTATTCGATTTTATAATTTTATAATATTTTGAAATCAATTAACAACATTTTTCGGTTTCTCCAGCGTTTGTTCTCAATTATCAAGTAAACTATTATCAAACAATTACCTTCCCAATAATGCACCAATAAGAGAAAATTTTCTTTCAGAATAGATGCTACATTTAAAGAGCAAGATTCTGTTTGAAGAGAAAAACACATATAAGTAGTAAAACCAGTAGTTACATTTCTCACTGCGCACAAAATATAGCGATTGCAACAGTAAAAATAAATGGTAATAGTATAATAAACTATAGAATAATAATGTATCAATTTAAAACACTAAATATATTTTGAAATAGTTAAAACTGTTGTATAAGTCACCTTGTTGTTGTCTTGAAAAACAAACAAGTATCTAACTGAATAACCGATTAAAATCTAATTATAATAGTATAAAGTTTCCTTATAGTGTTTTAATAATATATATTGTTTTAGTGTTACTGAGTATTAAGATGGATGGTAAAAACACAATTATAACACTGAGTAACTGGAGTGAATTCTACGTAGATCGTAAATGTAATTTGGAAGTAATAACTGTTTTAAACCTTTATTAACCTTGTACAGGGATGGTCAAACGGGAGGTGGGGTATATACCAACCTTCATATTCCTTATACTTCCATGACCTTTTCCTATTCATTATGTATAATAGTGTTTATTATTATACAACCTACCTGTTTATGTATATAAAAAAAATAATAATTGTTAAAAAATCTACCTCAATCCTCTCAACCCCGTGAGAAAATCATTAGACCGCTACTGACCCTGCAATGCAAAAACTCGTTATTATTATATAATATTTTTAAAACGAAACAAATATCCGTAAGCAACGATAAACCTTTGTTAACAAAAAATCAATTCTGAGAGGAGTTCAGTTGATAGTGATGCTTTGTCAAAAATATATTATATGTTATATTATGGTAAAATAATTAAATAGACATTATATATTTTCTTTTATAATATTTGTTTAATATACTGATTTTTCCGTCTTTCCCATGTTTTTCCTGGTTTTTCACATTTACTGGGAAAAATCTTGAGAAAATCGAAAAATGACCTTCTTAAAATACCTCCCCAGACCGATTTCCTTTCAGAAAAGGTGATGTACGTAAAAATCAGAGCAAGTCCTCTGGTAGAAAAGTTGTCCACAGAAAATATAAATAAAACCATAAGCTTCTTTGATTCACTCAGAAAC